GATAAACCAGTACTAGACTGGGTGCAAGGAGTGGGACCAGAGGGGCTGGAAGTGCCGGAAAGGGTGAGAGCTAGGGGCGTGCACTACAGGTGGCAGGATGACCAGCTGCAGTTGGTAACGGAGGATGGATGGAGAATCGTACCCAGACCTGGAGAGAGGAGAGATTTGATACTGCAGATCCATACGAAGTTCGGGCACTACGCCGTGGAGAGGACCACCCAGCTGCTGCAAACCATGTATTGGTGGCCAGGAATGAGAGGGCAGGTAAAAAGGGAGATAGCAGAATGCGAGCCCTGCAGTAGGAATCGGGCGGTGCTGGAAAGGAGTAAGGCAGAACTACAGTCGCTGCCTATTGGGAGCATCGGCTACCGATGGTCGTTGGACTTGGCGGGGGAGCTGCCCTTGTCCAGGAGAGGAAAGCAGTTTATCCTGGTGATGATAGAGCACACTAGCAAATGGATTGAAGTGGCGGCTCTGTCGCGTAAGACAGCCGCATCGGTGGCAGAGGCTTTCGTGCAGCAGGTGCTATGCAGGTTTGGGGCGTGTGGAGAAGTATTGACTGATCAAGGGACAGAGTTCGCGGGAGAGTTTGAGGCATTACTGAAGGAAGTGGGTATAGTGCACAGAAGGACCTCACGGTATCATCCACAAGCGGACGGGCTGACAGAGAGAATGATTCAGACGTTGAAGAAAGGCCTGAGGAAGTATTGTGAGGAAGAAGAGAGGCGGGATTGGGACGTGAAGTTACCGTGGGTGGCAGCAGGGTACCGCTTCAGTAAACAACAGGCGTTGAAGAGCTACTCTCCTTACCAGCTGCTGTTCGGAAAGGAGCCCCTGCTACCCGTGGGAGCTCCTAAGGTCTTAAGAGAGGCGGTAGGAGATGAAGACCCCAGCACATGGGCGGCTGTCGCGGCGGCAAGGGCGAAGTATCTTCGGTCAGTCATGCCGGCTGCACTGGAGAACCTAGAAGTAGCACAGATGAGAGACGCTCGCCGGTACAGTCAGAGGAGGCAAGGGGGGAGGGGAGTCGTGGGAAAGGACAGAGGGGTGCAAGCAGGGGACGAGGTGTACCTGAGAGAGCGGCGGAGGGACACACTGGAGTGCGGGCTGAGCAAATCGAAGTGGAAAGTGCGAGAGCTGCGGGAATCAGGGGTGGTCACTTTAGAGGACTCTCAGGGAAAGCGGGTGAGGGACCATATCTCCAATACGGCTAAGGCAACAGCATCACGACCTGCGGGCAGGGACGCAGAACAGGTCGTGAGGGGGCATGATAGGGGTCCAGAGAGCATCATTACCTATAAGAGACGAGGAGGAAGACTGCATAACGAAGCGGGAAAGCATGGAGAAAAGTAAGGGTTAGAGAGCACAGAGCAAGAGAGTGACGGGAGGGCGGATCCACTGGTAGAGGGTGCGACAGCTGTCGCATGACGCTTGCGAATGAGTTCACAAAGGTTCATGAGACAGCTCCTAAGGTGAGTACGGTTAGATAAGTTGTGAGGGAAGTAGTGTTGTTGTATAGTTGTTGTGAAATGTACTGTAGAGTGTGCGGGTAGGGGGGTTGTGGCGATATCGGAATTATGGCAGGGACAGGAGAATCGAGGGCGGGACCACTCGAAAAGAGGTCGGGACAGTGGTTGACCTGGCAAGGGCCACCGGTGAACTGGAAGGGGGGCAGGGGTGACGAGGCTTGCCCGAGTCGCATGCAGGGAAAGAGCCCCAAGGGTTGGGCGGTGCGAGGGGTAGTTGGCAGACCCCGAGGGGCAGATCCACGAGGGGTGACAGGGAGCCAAAACTAGCACGGCAAGGACACCAACTCACTTTTGTTTGTCTTCTCGTAATTGTGGGAAAGCTTGTGATTCAGTTGTGATCTGTCGTCAAGCTGAGCAACTGCTAGATCCACGTCGGAGAAGCCAAACTAGTGCGGCCATTTGTGCCTAGGGAAGGAAACTAGCCACTCGCGTCGAGGGCTTCTTTATGATAGGGGTCCAGAGAGCATCATTACCTATAAGAGACGAGGAGGAAGACTGCATAACGAAGCGGGAAAGCATGGAGAAAAGTAAGGGTTAGAGAGCACAGAGCAAGAGAGTGACGGGAGGGCGGATCCACTGGTAGAGGGTGCGACACTCACCTGAACGCAGATGAAATCAGCAGCGAAGGAGTTGAGGAGGGAGAGGCGGGCATGGATGCGGTAACTCTTTCTGATGGTTGGGACGAAGGTGGACGCGGGATTAAGGTGAAGGCTGGGCGACAGGGGAGTGGAAGGGTAAGGTGACTGGCTGGTGCAGATGAGTGAGAGATGGAGGAGTGACGAAAAGTGGACAGCATTAGGTAAGAGCGTAGCTGAGACTAGAGAGCTGTGAAAGTGGGACGGTTGTAGAGAAACATGGAAACAGGAAACAACTGGGAATAACCCGCCACATCAGGGGAAAAAATAATGTAATAAGCATGTGAAATATGAGGTGTACCTGTGAGAGAGGGGAGGAGCGGTGTACCTTAGAAAGATGGGAGTAGAGGTGCACCTTAGAGAGAGGGGAGGAGAGGCGGGAAACTTCTTGCGCGAGACAGCTGCAAGAATGATCAGGGCCGGGGCGGGTACAGCGAGGGTGGGTACAGAGAGAGTGGGCACAGAGAGAGTGGGCACAGAGAGAGTGGGCACAGAGAGAGTGGGTGTGGAGAGAGTGGGTGTGGAGAGAGTGGGTACAGAGACGGGGAAAAGGCAAAGCATGCTCGGAGATAACACAAAAGCAGGGAATTATATGAGAAAGAAGAACCTTTAGCAATCTGTAAAAGATGCAGATGATTAGAATGCATGAGAGAAAGGCGAAAGATAATCTAACAAGCAAAAGACGGGTTGCTACTGGTATACTGTACACACAAGCCTGGGCGAGGACGTTGTATGAGACCACGCGGATGGCGAACCCTGGAGAACCAATGTAGGTTACGTGGGGAATGGGTTGAGAAACATCAGAAGTGAGGGCTGTAGTAAAAAAAAATGGGACCCCTGAACCTGGAAGTTGGAATAGGGCGAGAGTGGAGGACACGAGTGAAGCAGCCAGACTCCCAGAGATGTTTGAGTCGACTCAGAAAGCGACGGTTGAAATAGAAATAGAAAGAAGGAAGCGATACAGACATGAGGTTTCAAGGGGCGGGGATACGAACTGTACGGAAGAAGAGACCGTGAGCTGAGAAGTAAACGACACGAGACCCCAATGGGGCAACGGGAGGGTCGAGTATAAAAGTCGTACCATCATGGTGCTGCCGCCCTGAAGTTGCCGTCCGTATTTTACGCTCAGCTTTCTCGTCTTGCTCCGTCAATGCTTCGTTAAGAGCTTCTTCGCTACAGCAGCTAACCTCCACAAAACTTGGTAGGACTGGAGCGGGCTCATCAATTGTGCTGCCCTCTGCCTTCTGTTTCAATGCTGACGCACCTCCTGACGCATCTCCTGCCGAATCCCCTGACACATGGCCTGACGTATCTCTTGACGCACTGACTGAGTCATCTCTTGACGAATTTGCTGACGTAACTGGTGACGTAACTGGTGACGTAACTGGTGAAGTAACTACAGAAGCATCTCCTGACCTACCTCCTGATGCATCTGCTGACACATTCGTTGACTTTGCTGGCTCACTTCTCGCTGCAGCCGAGTCTATCGGTAACGGAAGCGCACTACTGTGCAATGTAATTCCAACCTGGTTCTCTTCCTTTTGTTCCCTACCATCGTCACCACTCATTCTCTGACTCTCGCAAGCACCTGCGACATGAAACCTTCGACCATGCGCTCTGCTGCTTGAATGGAGGAGACCGTTTGGTTTGATGCAACTCATTGAATTCCCCAACCTTGAAAGCAGCAGAAGTCTAGATCCCCTAGACAAAGTGGAAATCCCTAAAGAAGCCATGGCGACGGTTGAGAGAGAAATCACTCTCGAGAAATCTGAACCCGGAAAGCTGGAGTCGCGGCATGAGTGGATGCCGGGACGGAGCTTTACATGCAAATAATCTGTGCAGTGACATTGAAATGAAAATGGTCATCAGCGGAACATAAGGCCACACATGCTGGTGCCATCCAAAATTTCAAATACATCGCGATAAGACTCTTCGTTGAGATTTTCCTACAATCACTTCCTTTCAAAGTACCGTATGAAAACAGATACAAACCACGGTTCGTTTAGTCATCCATATGGTGCTCTCTAAAGTTTGTTTTTCAAGCGTCACATAGCTATTATGTTCATAATTACTTATCAAATCAAAGCTTGTTGCTGCCTCTATATCACGATAGCCATATAAGCTATTTGGGGTGCCGAATGGACAATAGGTCGTTATCGAATCACTTCACAAAGGGTCAATGTGTACAAGCCGTTTCTCCTTACCTTCCTGGCTTTGTTCTGTTTCTTTTCCAGTTCAGTCTCCTCCCCGCTCACTAGATCTGGTCGGTGAGGGTAACTTGCTGTTCTAGGTTGACTAGTATTGGTACCCTTGCAAGTCAAGCAGGTGGCTAGTTTTTTATTAGCCTTATTAGCTCTCGCCGTTTCTTCGATTAGGTTGCGACGAGACTGCTTCACCCTCCAGTTTAAGGCGACAGTTCGAAGAACGACAGGCAGCTTTTGACTCACCTATCATGATCTCGCAGTTTTTCATCCTCTCTCCCCGCGGCGATTCCATAATCTTTCGAGATTACCGCTGCGATGTGCCGAAAACGAGCCCCGAGATCTTCTTTCGGAAATTCAGGTTCTGGAAAGGCGACAATGAAGCAGCCGAAGAAGCTCCCCCGATCTTCAACCTGGATGGAGTGAATTACCTCTACATTAAGTGCTCTGGCCTGCTATTCGTCGCCACGGCCCGCGGAAATGTTTCGCCGTCTTTCGTCCTGGAGCTCCTTCAGCGGATCGCTCGCGTTGCCAAGGACTACCTCGGTATTCTCAACGAGGAGTCTCTTCGGAAGAACTTCGTCCTCGTTTATGAGCTGCTCGACGAAATGATGGACTTTGGGTATCCGCAGAGCATGTCCACGGAGGCGCTTAAAGCGTTCGTTTTTAACGAATCAGTACCGATCATGGACTCGTCGCCTCTGCCGGGAGGGGTACCTGGGGGTGGAATGATCGTTCCTCCTGCGCTTGGGGGAGCTGCTGCTTCGCTGTTCATGACTGGCGGTCGGAATCGGGTCCCAGGAGCGGCTATGATGAGATCCGTGGTGGCTCCTGATACAGGCGTAAAGAAGCGGGAGGAGGTGTTTGTTGATGTGATCGAACGGCTGAGCGTGACTTTTAGTCCCAACGGATACATCCTGACGTGTGAGATTGACGGAACCATACAGATGAAGAGTTATCTGACCGCGAATCCTGAAGTTAGGATAGCTCTTAACGAGGACCTCGTTATAGGCCAGAGGAACGCTCCAGCGTCGCTGCTGTATGGAGGGGGAGGCGGGATGGGGGAGGATGGAAGCGGAGGATTCGGAATTGTTGTTCTGGATGACTGCAACTTTCATGAGAGCGTACGGTTGGATACCTTTGATGTGGACCGGACAATGACTCTCGTGCCACCAGACGGGGAGTTCTCAGTCATCAATTACCGCATGACGCATGAGTTCAAGCCTCCGTTCCGGGTGTATCCGGTTCTGGAGGAGATCACCCCTTTCAAGGTAGAGCTGTTCATAAAGTTAAAGGCAGAGTTTCCCGCCACAGCAACCGCCAACTCCATTGTCGTCCGTGTGCCGCTGCCCAAGAGCGTGATTAAAGTGAGCTGTGATTTAGACCCTGGAGCTGTGGGGCAGTCAACGGATTTCAAGGATGCGTCCAAGATTCTGGAGTGGACTATAAAGAAGATGCCCGGTGGTGGGAATGAGCATACATGCCGGGCCAAGATGACCCTGAATCAGGAGCGGGGCTCAGGGAACATGAAGAAGGAAACTGGTCCAATTAGCCTGTCGTTCAATATCCCCATGTACAACGCATCTAGACTCCAGGTAAGGTATTTGCAGGTGTTGAATAAGGGCAAGGCGTACAATCCATACCGCTGGGTGAGGTATGTCACCCATGCCAATTCATACGTGGTGCGTTTATAATGGATTGAAGGTCAGTGGATGAGATTGGTGGTGCAGCTTCCAACAAGGTTTTTGCTCCCTTCCTGAGCTTTTTAGTTCTTACAGTTCTAGCATTATTGTTTTTGATATTTAGTGTTCATACAGAAATTACATGTTGGCTCGGGTAAGTAGGTGCGTATGCTTCCGCGGGATCAGCCTGCTGACATGCTTTCCTGTTTACAGCCAATCAGACTGGTCAAGGCCTACAACATCCACGCCCCCGCCCATTCCCCGACCAGCGTCTGAAACGCTCCTCTTGAAAGTGACTTTCGCCAAAACGCACCACGCTATGTATCATTGCAGCATACCAAACCGTTCATTACCTTTCTAAAAACTCTGTGTTGTGATGGGAAAGGGAGATAAGCAGGGATCCACCCCCCAGCAGAGCACCATGCATACCTTTCTAGCCGACATGAGTTTGATTCGTCTGATTTCGTTCGGCCTGAGATTTTCTAGTGTGTAGGGGAAGTTTTTACGAGTTCCTGCTTCCAAGCTATTAGCTAGTAAGCTTCATTTTAGATGCAGTTGCTCGTGTGAGTCATGGTTTCCGGAGTCTCATCCTTGTCAGGCGTGAGTATTGATTGTCTTGCACGCAACGTCCGATTATTTGCTGGGCAAGCCGATCAGGCACCAGGATGAGCGATTAGTATCAGCAACGTTTTATGCACTCGGTCTAAAATCAATTCAGACCTTGTAGTTTTGAAGCAGATCAAACTCAGCTCACCGATCAAATATGGGCTGGCCAGGAGCTAGGCATCGATCGTCACAAGAGGAGCTTCTAAGCAGAGTATCTGAAATGACTAACGGGGAAGGCAACATGCTGGGGAATTCTGACTTTGAGCTTTCCGTCCCAGAGAACCTAAACACCATGTCAGCGTCGTTGGCTTCGCGGCTTGCTAAGGTTGTCAAAGAAGCTGCTCTCGAAGCCAAGCTGCACGAGGAACGACTCAAGCCACGGCCTAGCCGGGAAACCCACTGGCTCGAGATATTCCGGGACTATGTCTATCCCGGACAACTGATATTGCCAGGCAATAGGTAGAGTGCGATCAAACAATAAAGCTTATATCATGAATTCTCCAGATTCGATTGATGACGCATTCGGTCTTGCATGGCAGGTTCCATTGGTACTGGAGACTAATCGTCATCGTCATGGCACTTTACTCCTCTCTTATCACCCCATTCGAGTTCGCTTTTTTCCGACTGAAATTCCCTCCTCTGGGTCTACTAATCATGGACATTGTGTCAAATGTCATATTTCTGGCGGACATTTTCATCACGTTTAGAGTAGCCGTTAAGGATCATCGAACAGGCACTCTGATCGCTGACAGAAGGAGGATTGCAATAAGGTGCGTTAGTTCTGCTATTGACACTAATTTTCTATCAACGCCCTAATCACTGATGCAGAAATCTCGCAGGTACCTGCAGGCCTGGTTCACTCTTGACTTCCTCTCATGCATTCCATGGGAATACGCATACCAGGTAACATTATTTCCTGCTCGACAACTCTCGCGGACTTTTGGGATGAGAACCTCTTGGATTTTCACTTGAGAATGGAAGTGAAATGACGGTTCTTTTCTTGCTCTTTTCAGGCAAGTGGACACCTCGTGTTCGAGATTCTTTTGTGGCTTCGACTGATCCGTGCTCGGCACTTGAAAGAATTTGCTGACAGGCAAGAACACCAGCCCTTCATACCTTTCCTTCGATGGTTCTTTTCTTTTCTTTTTTGGATTTTCTTTCCATGATGATGACCTTTTTTTTTTTTTTTTTTTTTGCAGGTTGGGGAAGGACACGCGGTACCACTACTTTCTGGTTCGCTGCACGGAGATGTTTCTCACAGAATTTTATGTGGTCCACAGTGCTGCATGCATTATGTACTTTCTCGCTCTCACCATGCCTGAAGATCAATCAGGATACACATGGATTGGAAGCCTTCAGCTTGGAGACCAGAGCTATGCTGACTTTCGAGAAATGAACATTTTCCAGCTGTATTGTGTGAGCCTCTATTGGGCTATGGTGACAATGGCGAGTCTCGGTGAGTCCGGGAGCGTTTTCTTGTGCCATCAGAATTCTTCATGTCTCTTTTATCGTATTTTGTGGAAAGATAACCCTTACCAATGCTCCCATTTTCAGGTTATGGCGATGTTCATCCTGTCAATCCTCGAGAGATGATTTTCACCATTGCCTTCGTGGTCTGGGACATGTTGTTCACGGCATACCTTATTGCCAACTTCACAGCGCTGGTTGTCAGATATCAGTCAAGATCAGAAATCTTGCGTGAACGACTATCAAATGTTACGAGATATGCCAACAGGTGCTGCTATAGACTCTGTCGCCATCAGTTTGTGCCTGCAGTGTTTGAATCCTGCTACCGTAAGTCTGATGCCCCTTACCTTTCAACCTTCCATGTGTGCCGCCATCAGAAAGCAGATTCCTGCTGGAATGAAGGAGCAGTTGCTATCTCACGTTGTGCTGAAGCAAGAGGCGTTGGAGGAGGACAACAAGCTGGTCAACGAGTTTCCCATCTCCATCCGTGATGGGGTCGCAATGTCCCTGCATGGGAAAGTGCTCGCAGATGCATATCTGTTTCAGGGCTGCTCAAAGGCGTTCATTCAGTTCCTGGTAGGTTGTCTTGACTTGCCACACTTTCCAGTATTGTCATTTTGTTAATCGAGGATGCTTGAAACTTTGTTGTTTAGTTGTCCACTTCATTGCACAATCCACTTGCATTCCGTGATTCATACTCTTCATGCTTGTTGCAGGTTTCACGACTGCGAGTGGAGTATTTTCTTCCTGGGGAGGTGGTGGTGAGTCGGCATGACAACAACCATCAGCTCTATCTGCTCGTGCAAGGAGAAGTGGTGAGATGAACGCACTTGTTGTTCGCCCTACCTTTTTCCCACCCTAGAGTGTACTACCAGATTCAACATCCTTGTGCTGTTGAATAACCCTTCCACCTGTTTCTCTTCTTCACGCCTCTCCGCTTTCACATCTCCTTCCGTTATTGTATGCAACACGTAGGAAGAAGTCCATTTCAGCAGGAATGGAGCTCGAGTGGCCACGGTGTGGAGTCCAGGGGAGATGTTTGGGGAGGCGGGCTTGCTCGCCAGCAAGTTCTCCCCCTTCACTGCTCACGTCAAGTCTTTCTGCAAGGTGCTGAGGATCGATGGCCAGGTCTTTTCAGAGGCCACTGCGTTTCATCAGGAGGATGGAGAGAGGATTATTAGCAATTATTTGCAGGTGAGTCACCACAAGAGAATACTTTGATTTTCCTTGATTACTATGACAATGGTCCATGCATTGCTTCGTAGCTTTGGTTCATGGCGTGGCGTTGATCCATGAAACTGGTTCAGGACAATAAATCAGTCACGTCACTGTGTTGTGGTTCCTGAAAGCATATTTTAATAGGCCACACTTATTCCATCCTTCCCATCTCGTCTCCACCCTCCAACCAACCTCCCTCTCCCTCCACTCCCCACCCCTACCTTCGGTCATTGCAGAAATTTGGGCAATCTGAATCTGAACCGCTAGACTTTGGTCAGCCCAGGGCTCGTCGCCTCACAGACACGGCAGAGGAAGTGCGCCGAGCCGTGACTCAGCGGCAGGCACAGCAGACACTGAGCGCCATACAGCAAGCAGCCCGGGGGGACTTGGATCACCTCAAGATGCTGCGAAAGCTTGGAGCAGACTTCTCGAAAGGGGACTTTGACGGCCGGACTGCACTGCACCTGGCCGCCTCCAGGGGCTTTCCGGACATTTGCAGTTTCATTCTGCGAGAGGGAGGTTCTGCCAACAGGAAAGGTGAGCACAATGTTTGATTTGAAGTAGAGGAATCGTTAGCACCAGACCCTGACTGTGCATGGGATATGGTACAGCTCCTTTCAAAGCTCCTTCATTGTCACATTGTCCTTTTCTTTGGAAACCTCTGGAGTAATCTTTACTGCTGGAAGCCCTGCGAGCAGGCTACATGCAGACAGCCGAGGTTGTGCATTAACTTCCAAAGGCTTAGGGAAACCTTCATCAGTGTCTTCTTCAAGGGCTCAGGGAAGAGCCCCATCAAACTTATCCCTCCCTTATCCCCTCAGACCGCTTTGGTGTGACACCTCTACTGGAAGCCCTTCGAGCAGGCCACATGCAGACAGCCGAGGTGCTGCGGGAGCACGGCGCCCAAGTCCTCCTGGACGACCCAGCAAGCGAGCTGTGCCACGCGGTGAAGCGCGGTATGGTGGAGTACCTCGAGCGCCTGCTCTCCTTCGGCCTGGACCCCAATGAGGCGGACCACGACCTGCGCACGCCCCTGCACGTGGCAGCAGCAGAGGGGTCCGTTGTGCTCGTGCGGCTGCTGCTGGAGCATGGGGCGGATGCATGGGCGCGGGACCGGTTGGGTCACCTGCCGGTGGACGAGGCGTGCCGGAATGGGGCGAGGCCGGTGATTGCACTGCTCAAGGATGGCATGCGCGTGAAGCTGCCGCCGCTGGCAAGTCGACCACCAGGTATATTCTTGGAAGTGTTAGGAGCGAAAAAGGCATTTTGCTTTGTCTAGGGTGCATCGAATCTGATGGTGTTTTTCAATCCGTGTGATGCGTTACCCATCCTGACGTCTGTTTGCCGCTGAGTGCATGCCATTCCTATCCTTCATCTGTTCAGGTTCTAATGGAATCTCTTGCTCTGTTCCTCCTCCAGCTGGACGAGCCTCTCTCACTCGTGGAGGCTCGCAGCGCCGTCGCCACACCCACCACCAGCCCTCATCTTCCATCGCAGGAGCCCCCGCCGCCACTACCAACACTGCCACCACCACTACTGGCACAAGTAACACTTCAACCAGCAACACTGGCAGCACTCCCCGCCACTCCCGGCCCAGCAGGCAACGCTCCCAAAGCGTCGACACCTATTCCGACCAAATCGAATCTGCCCCTGACAGCAGCAGCTCGGGAGCTGCGTCCCCCTCCACCTGCCTGCCCTCCGACCCCTTACTCCAGCAGCGCGTGATGCACCTGCGCCGCCGCCCCACCAGTTCCGTGCACATCCCCACTGACCTCCTGGCCGACCTTCCTGCTTCGGTTTTCGATGAGTACCTCTCAGAGCACCAGACTGCATCTAATCAGCCGCTCTTCACCCCTCCTGCGTCACCCCTTGCGCATCTGCTCCTGCCCAAGCTCCATGCTGCTGGTTCTTTGACCCCGCCACCCTCGTTTGATGGCGGCTCTGAGTTGCAGCCTCGCTCGTCCTCAGCGACCTTCCCACTCTCTGAACCTTTACTCCCACCTATTCCACATCCACACACCACACACACTGCACATGCCACCACGCATGCCGAACACACCGTGCACACAGCACCATACCGCTCTGCCTCTGCTGCTCTCCCCCCTGCTCCACCTGCCCCTGGCGTATCCTCTGCTCCCCGTGCACAACAGCGGCCCACGCCCCTCACCATCGACCCTCTAGACAGAAGCATGAGTCGCTCCTCCACAGCCCCGCATTCATCACTAGACGAAGTCCGCACCCAACTGATACCAGCCTCACCAGAACCCTCCACTCCCTATGCGACCAGCCAGCCCCTGTCAGGACCCCTGTTGAGAGTGGGAGAACCGATCACTCCCTACCCTCATCGCAACTACATGCCTGCAGGATCGTTCTCAGGATCTTTCAGAGCCTTGCCTCCGCCCCCAACCCCATCTGTGGCTGTGGCCAACCGCCGTGTCACAGTCTTCCCATGCCGACCATGGGACACTGGCCCAGCTGGCAATCCACCTGGGGATTCTCCTGGGGAAGATGAACTTAGCGAGGGAGCTCATGGAAGGCAACCACGTGACTGTTTGCCTGATCAGGCTGTGCATTCATCAGGGGATTCTGCATCGCCTGAACCTGGGAGCAAAGGAGGTGTTGGGAGCCGGGCTGGAGAAGAGAAGAGATTCATGGGGCGACCATATGGGAAGGTGGTGTTGGTACCCCTCTTTATGGTCACCCTGAAAGAGCAGCTGAGCACGCTGTTAGGATTCCCTGTGAGAATCCTTGTGAATAAGGATGGTGGGGAGATCACTGACACAGATACTATTCGGGATGGAGATGTCATTTTTGCTCCACCATCTGAACCTGCTCTATCTGGTAAGTTACATGTGCATGCACTAAATGTAGATGCACATGCACGTGCTGCATGCATGCTCAGTCAAGCTGTACTAATTCTACACAATCATACGAACCAGTTCTGTTTAGAGGTTTTCTCTCACTGTGGTTTTGCTTTGCTGCGCCTCTCTGCTCGTCTGTGGCAGATCCCCTTGCGTGCCAATCCTGCAGATGTCGAAAAGTACCAGCACCAGGTGATTCCAATCGGTAGTGTGTATCATCCATGTGGTACTTGCGCCTGCTAGCAAATGCAATGCTAGCGTATGGCACGAACTTGCTTACATGTAACTTGTATATTGAAGTTCCAGTGTGCACCTAGTTCTACTCTCTAAATGGAAAATCAGGTGTACATGCATGGAGTAAGGCTCTGTCACTAAACTTCAAGTTTTCCGCACATCCCTCCAGCACTCCAAGCACTAAACTTGTTAGCACAGCACAGCACAACACAGCACAGCAGCCAGTATTTTGTTTGCACCCATAACTTTAGATGGACCTGGCCTGAGCCTTGCTCAAAACAGCTCATTTACGTGTATGTACACCCAATTTCCAACGTTACATGAAAGAGCATACAACATACTGATGGTAAGGTCTCCACTATTGATGCACCCACGGAAGGGGAAAGACACTACCGCTCCAGCAGTCATGTGCCCAAACTGCACTTATTGCACTCCCTTCACTGTAAACCCCACAACAAAGCTTGAGAACGGTGTTGCTTGCACGGGTGAAGTGGAGTGAGTAAAGAAAGCACCAGGAGGAGCAACAGCAAGTCCACACCAGCTTAACCCCATACCCCCCCACCATCCAGCACAGCCCACCTTCGCCACTACCCAACCTCAAAACGCTCCGAGCAGCCCCAACACACCCCAGCCTTCGTCCCAGCCCGCGCTCGGCTTTTCCCCACACCGCACGCCTACAAAACCACTCCTGCTGAATCCCTCCTCCCCTGCACCCAACCTCCCAGCACACTCAGGCGGCACAGAATCGCGGAAACTAGCCTCGGAAGAGATCCCCCCTGCAGCCAATCGCCTCTCCTCTGCCACTCCTCCGCAAACTGGGAGCCTTCCACACGTCTGCAGATTGTTTAGATTCTCAACAACCGTCAAGTCACCTTCCCGTGCTGCTGCTTTAAGCGGGTCTGCTCCCATCCGACTGCCCCTCGTCGCCGTATCTGCTGCAGGTACGTTCGCCAGGTTCGCCATCGGAACCCGAAGCTGCGAGGGAGCATCGGAACCGGCAGGACTTGCAGAAGCAGCTGCTGCGTTCGCGTGTGATGATGTTAACAATGCACCTGTCTCACCCTCCCTTAATCCCCCTGTATTCTCCTTCGAATCATAAGCTGCCACCACCGCCGTAGCTTTCGCAGCCGAACGATCCACCGTCCTTTCCTCCGCCTCACGCAACAGACGCGCGCAGTGCGCGCTGCCCACCCGCTCCGCGTAATCCCGCGGGTTCCGCCCTTCCGCGTCCGCCGCCCCGCACAGCGCGCCGTGGCCCAGCAGGAGCTGCACCATCTCAGGATTCACCTGCTCCGCCGCCAGATGGAGCGGCGTTACCAGCCGTTGATCTTCCGCGTTCACCGACGCGCCGCGGTTGATCATCACGCGGGCAAGAGAAACATTTCCCGACGCTGCGGCGTAGTGAAGGACCGTTCGGCCGTACTTATCACCGGCTTTTAAGGAGCGCGGAGGAGTGCTTATAAGGAGGATCTTCGCGATGTCTTCGAGGCCCACAGCGACCGCCCAGTGCAGAGGGGTGCGATCAATCTTGTCGCGCGCCGTCACGCGCGCGCCGCGGTCGATGAATCTACGGACGGCGAGGATTCGACCGGAAAGGACGGCGGCGTGAAGCTCGGTGGCGTACGGACTGGCTGATAAGCCCATCGTATCTAACCTCTTGCTGGGCTTCAGGAGCGCGGATCGAGAATCTGACTATAAAGGAAGACGAGAACGACCAAGAAAACGATGCTAGCGTTTTTCACGGCGCGGAGGGAAGAAGAAGTTTTTAAGGAGGAATCTGGAAGAAATATACAGCTCCGTCGAAATCTAGAGAGGCAAGTCTAGCGAATTTCAAACAGGCAGTGGTATGTATGTTGCTTTTTGTGCTGTCAACAAGTTAGCGACTCTCAGGAAGCAGTGTTCGTGACTCTCAAGTTGGGTCAATTATTGGATGTGATGTGTGCCCAGCAAGCAAAGGAAAGCAATAGGAAGGAATCCTCTCCAACACGCAAATGACGCATAGCAAACGTGTAGAACAATGGAGGGGAGTGTGTGCAAGGGGAACAGTGGAGTTCTGGATTGCGTGAAGAAGAGGAGCTTGTTAGGGCGTGCTAAATCTCAAACTCCAAAACTTCGGCCACAATCCGTCGGGCCGTATCTGCGAAGGTAACCAGCTTGCGATAATCGTAAGTCAGGTGGTGACCGTCGCAAATTTCGTTAAATTTTTACGAATTTGATGGCTGTTTAAAACCCGCGTCCCAAATTGCGGGCCGCGAGGGTCAAGTTTTTAAAACTTGACGAAGTTGAGTGTCCAAGCTTTTGAAAGTCACGCACTTGCAATTCGGGACTTTCGAAGACAGATTCACTCACCAGGGGGAAAACCGAGGGTTGGCTGGGTCTCGCGAAAAAAACGAACCTAGACGAAATCGGAAACTCTCGCCAAAGCCCCACACCAGAAAAACTCTGGTCAACTTATAAAAGCATGAACAATTTGGGCCGCCGGCTTTAAAAAGTCGACACGAAAACGACGCCGAGTCGACTCCAAAACGGCCAAGTATTCTACACAGAGAATTTGTTTAGGGTTAAATGAGGAATATCGCCGTCAAAAGTGCGACCCCGTCGCACATACTAAACTACTGTAGTAACTGCAAATTTAACAACTTTTCCGAACCAGCCTGCAATCCGGCCACCAAAGTATTGCCAAAACTGTAAATTTTGGCTGTTAAAGAGTCGACTCTGATTCGGCCACCTCGTCGCTGTTCGCGAAAAATATGACGACCCTTCGGTCGTCGAAAATTCGGCCGCACCCTATTTTCGGAATTGTGTAGCGATTTAACACGCCCTTAGTTTTGGTCTGGTTTGGGAAGAAAATTCAGCTGTGGAGAGAGGGAGTCGGGGGGAAGGGACGAAGGAGCCGAGGCGGATGTGGAGAGCAGAGGGGCGGTGGATGGACAAACACGAGAGACGCGTTTCGGCGCGTTTCGCAGGAACGGACGGCTTCGATTGAAGCCTTCGGTGTGCTGGATGTGGGTGAGGGTCATAAATATTCGCGGCCGCGCAAATTATTGAGGGTGGGGAAAACTGTGGGTGCAATAATGCGCGGCCACGGAGCGAAAACTTTTTCCTTGGTAAGGGCAGGTGGACCGCGAAGGCCGCTTGCTCTGCTTGAGATGCGGCTGGTTGCCGAAGCGCTCATGAGTCTGTCTGACGCCACCTGCGGCCAGACCACCACCACCCTTGTGGCGCAATTTCGTGCTGCTTAGCAAAGCGAGTCTCGTTATACCCTGTCGACATCCGATCTGCTCGTTACAAAACCTCGCTATACCCTGTCAGACCCTGGTAAAACCCTTCGCCCTGATTGTTCAATGCATCTCCCACCCAGCCCCAACCGAGTCTTTCTGAGGCACATTTCACGGGTTTCTGGTCTGGGGGTTCCACTGCCGCCTCACAATAACACCCAGACATCGACAGGAAATATTTAGTTTTGCCGAGCTTCGCAATTTGCGCCTCGGCTCCTCCTCGGTTGTTCCTCGGCTATTTGGCGAGGCGCTATCACCCATAGTCTCGTCTTGCTTCTGCTGTAGTCGCAGCGCGTTACCCCTCGATCTTGTAGACCTTATGGAGCAACCAGAGACGAAAGCCGAGGCTGTTCCTATGGACACGTCGGCTCCCGGAAATCAAGGGAATCCTGCTTCTCAACCCACTAACCCTCCGTCAGGATCGACGGCCGCCGCTGCAGCTGCTCCCGCAAAACCCGCCGCAGAAGGCGCTGCGACACCCGGTACCGCAGCTACATCTGCTCCCGCAGCTGTCCAAGTAGTGCCGCCTAAGGGCTACGTCCCATATGTTCTTAAATACACGCTTAACGGCCACAAGAAAGCTATTTCCAGCGTCAAGTTTTCGCCGGACGGAAAATGGTTAGCCAGCTCATCGGCCGACAAAACCGTCAGGATCTGGCACGCAGCTGACGGCCGGCCGTCAGACCCGCCGCTCGTGGCGCATACGGAGGGAATAAGCGACATCGCATGGTCTTCCGATTCACGTTACATCTGTTCCGCGTCGGACGATCATACGCTTCGCATATGGGACGTTACGGGAGGGCAGGCGGCTTCTAGCGGGGATGCTAATAGCGGAGCCGCTCCGACCACGCGACCGTGCGTGCAGATCCTAAAGGGGCATACTAACTACGTCTTTTGTTGTAACTTCAACCCGCAATCCAACCTCATAGTTTCCGGCGCGTTTGACGAGACGGTTCGGCTGTGGGACGTGAAAACGGGCAAGTGCGTGAAAGTTTTGCCTGCCCACTCGGACCCTGTAACGGCGGTTCATTTCAACCGCGACGGGTCGCTGGTGGTGTCGAGCTCGTACGACGGGCTTTGTCGTATCTGGGACACGCAGACGGGGCACTGCCTGAAAACCCTAATTGACGACGACAACCCTCCCGTGTCGTTCGTGAAATTCTCGCCCAACGGAAAGTTCATTCTCGCCGGCACACTCGATAACACTCTGGTGAGACTTCGCGCCGTCCCCCCCCCTCTTTCGCTTCGTCCCCCCATACCCCATCCGCCGTCCGCTTCTTTCGCCCATCCCTCTCCCCCCCCCTTCCCCTTCATTGTCCAGTCATGTTTTCCAACTCTGCACATATTCCTCTCCGCCTCCATCCTCCCCGCCTCTCCCCATCCTTCCCCCTTCCTCCCCCTTCCTCCTTTCCTCCTTCCGCCCTTTTTTCCTTCTCCCTTCCGCTCTCCTTGTGCCAGCGTCTGTGGAACTACGCAACTGGCAAGTGTCTCAAGACCTACACAGGCCACGTGAACAAGAAATACTGCATCTTCTCAACCTTCCCTCCCCTACCCCTTCCCGCTCCCCCTCTCCCGCTTCCCCTTTTCCTTTTTTCCCCCCTTCCGATTAACCAGCGTTTGTGGAATTATGCGACAGGCAAGTGTCTCAAGACCTACACAGGGCATGTGAACAAGAAATACTGCATCTTTTCAACCTTCTCGGTAACCAACGGGAAATACATAGTGAGTGGGTCAGAGGACAATAGCGTGTATCTGTGGGACCTACAAGCGCGTACAGTGGTGCAGAAGCTTTCAGGCCACACTGATATTGTTCTCACTGTGGCCTGTCATCCTAGCGAGAATATGATCGCATCTGGAGGGTTGGATCAAGATCGGACGGTCAGGATTTGGGTGCAGGAGAGCGCTGGGCCCGCGGCAGGAGGGAAAGGGTGAGGAGTGGGGATCGGTGGAGATGGGTTGAGGGAAGTGGTTGATTGGGTGGTTGTGGGTCTGGTTTTGGGGTACGGATGTGATTTGCTATGGTGCGGGATCAGGATGAAGGATGTTCGTAATTGTGAAAGTGAAATTGGAATTTTGAACGATTGTAGTTACATACACACACAGAGAATGCGGGTTGGGTTTTACGGTACATGTTGGTTGGTTAGTGGGTTGACCTGCTGTGCTGTTTTACTTCCGTAGTCCCCCGGATATAAAACCCTAGGGTACAGTATATATGGTAGTAGGATAGACTGGGTTAGCATGAGACAGCAGGAAACATTGTGGTAGTGTGCATCACGTGTGACCCTCATTTTGGCACGTGGAAATGCTAACCTAACAGGATTGATTTATTAACCAAGTCATGTCCACTGTACTAGCTTCACCTCCCTTGTGATGGATCACCTTTCATTAATTCAATTCATCCCTCCTCTGATGCTGAGGAACCTCTCATCTGCTTCCTACCGGTACATGCCAGCACAACTCACTGCCAATACCCGGCACAAACCGAAGCGGTGAACTCAAATGCGCGCTAGCTCATGCAGGAACCCGAGGGCATTTTTCAAACCCAGTAATGTCCTCGTGTCCTCATGTACTCGTGCCCTCGTGTCCTCATGTCTGCATCGTACATTACCTCATCTGACTTGCCAATCAACCCTGCAATGGGTCAGCTCATAACTACCTCCTCACACTACAACTCAGCTCCTTACCAGCAAGATCCTTATCACAGTTCTAACCAGCTGCTTATCAGATTCTCTGGTCACGGTGCTCCTACCCCTCCTCCTCCTCAAACCCTTACTCCATCTCAGCCGTGGCAGCAATCTCTGCTTCACCCCGCTCTTCCCTCAGAATCCTCGAAGTGATGGCTATCCGGTCGAAGTTATGCAGACCCACTGCCCGAACTTGAGAGAATAGGCCAGCTCTTGCAGGGCTGCACAAGTTCATCTCATCTACCGTTTCTCTAAGCACCCTTTCACCCCCCACCCCACAAACCCTACCTGTCTTCCTCTTCCTCAAACCCCTCCTCCATCTCAGCCGTGGCAGCAATCTCTGCTTCACCCCGCTCCTCCCTCAGTATCCTCGGAGTAATCGCTATCCTATCAAAGTTATGCAACACCCACTGCCCGAACCCGGGGGAATAAGCCAGCTCCTGCAGGGCCGCGTGGGTGCACTCATGGGAGATGGCTGCTGCCTGTGCCGGGGTGAGGTGGCGGCGGTGGGGTGTGCGGTGGAATGAGGAGGGGCAAACCGCGCGGGCGAGAGGGGAGGCGGGTAGAGGAGTGCGAGGTGTGCCTGTGAGGAGAGGGGAGGACACCAGAGGAGAGAAGGGGAAAGGAGAAGGGAAAAGCAAACAGATGAGAATCAACCAGGATTTTATGTCTTGACAGGCTGCAGGGCAGAGTGGGTGCACTGGTGTGAGATGGCTGCTTCCTGTGCCGGGGTGAGGTGGCGGCGGCGGGGCGTGCGGTGAAAGGAAGAGGGGCACACCGCACGGGCGTGCGGTGAAAGGAAGAGGGGCGCACCGCACGGGCGCACCGCACGGGCATACCGCACGGGCACACCGCACGGGCGAGACGGGAGGAGGGGAGGGGGGTGCGAGGTGTGCCTGTGGGGAGGAAGGGAGAGGAGGGAGAGGAGAGGACACGAGAGGAGAGAAGAGCAAGAGGAAGCGCGTGAGAGGGAAGAGGGTCAACTGGGAGAAGAGGAGAAGAGGGAGTCAGGGAGAAGAGGGAGTCAGGGAGAAGAGGGAGTCAGGGAGAAGAGGGAGTCAGGGAGAAGAGGGACCTGGTGGTCGTACCTGGTGGCCTTTTTGTTCCCTATGTTTCGACCAAGAGACACACACAACATTGGGAACAAAAAGGACGTACCTGGTGGCCCCTGGAGGGCGTCTCCATGTGCACATAGGGCGGCCCATCAACCGCCCTCGCGTGTGTCACATGCCCCTGAGGGACCCATCAAATCGCACACAGGACGTTCCCGGTGGCCCCTGGAAAGGCGTTTCCATGCGCGTATAAGGCGACCCATCAGCCCCCCTCGCGGGTGTCACATACCCCTGCCCTCCCCCCACACTTCCCAATTTTGAGACGTCTCATAATGACATACCCGGTGGCCCCTGGAAAGGCGTCCCCATGCGCGTATAAGGCGACCCATCAACCGCCCTCGAGGGGGTCACATACCCCTGCCCTCCCCCTACTGCTCCCATCGGGCCCTGAGGGGGAGTGCCGAATTGCTGGGGGGGAGAGAACGCACCCCCCATATCTCCTTCCTGCTCTGCTGCTTGCTCTCCTTTCCGAACACAAGCACGGACCAGGAAGGAGGTGGTGGGGGTTGCAGAGGGGGTGCAGGTGGGGGAGAGGAGGGCGAGTGCGCGTGGGGAGAGAAGGTGCAGGAGGAGGGTGGCGGAGAGAGAGAGGAGGAGGAGAGACGTGGCAATGATTGCATCCGCTGAACTCTGCGGGGGTGCGAGTCGGACGAAGAGGGGGAACGGGAGAAGGTGAGGGAAGGGAATGGGGGTAGGAGGGTGGGGTTTAGGAATGAGACTGGAGAACGGAGGGTGGGGCTGTGGAACGAGTGTGGAGGAGCACAGGGGTGCAGAAACGATAACATAAGATGATAGCAGCGTTGCCACTGCTAGGAGAGAGTAGGTGACAGTGGGTGACAGTGGGTGACAATGGGTGACAGTAGGTGACAGTGGGTGACAGTAGGTGACAGTGGGTGACAGTAGGTGACAGTGGGTGACAGTAGGTGACAGTGGGTGACAGTAGGTGACAGTGGGTGACAGTAGGTGACAGTGGGTGACAGTAGGTGACAGTGGGTGACAGTAGGTGACAGTTGATGACAGTAGGTGACAGTTGGTGACAGTGGGTTACAGTGGGTGCCTTATCCAACCCCACAGGTACTACAGCAAGTATATTGCATATCTTGCCATGTACCATGACGAGCAAAGTGCATTTATCCAAGGTTCGCAACGTACCATTATAAGCAGAGTAGCTGCAATTATTCGGAGCCCCCACTTAACGAAGGACACTGTAGGGGGGTCCAGCTCGCCTGTGGGCGAGAGGATGAATTTCCGCACCACCCAGAAGCCCAGCGCTGCTCCTATAAGCACCACCAGTACAAGCACAAACACCACCACCTGAGGAATGGTTGGGGAAACACATGATGTAAAGAGGGATGGCAGAGAGCATAAGGTGAAACGGATTGGGCTTATCATGCATCACAAAAACGAAAACGGCATGGTTGACCAGGACAGAAACGGGCAGTGAGAAGAATGATTACCAAGAATCTGACATCATACACAGGGGAGAAGTGGCATCATTACAAGGGAATTGATGTAATCACAAGAGGGATGGCATGGTTACCGGAGAGATGACGTCATCACCCAGACCAAGAGGCTCCATGACAGTCTTGACGGCCCCTGTGACGTACGTTATGATCACCCCTATGAACCCCATCTGGTTGGGATGGTGGGGAGGAGAAGTGCGAAAGTGCATCAAAGGTGCATCATAGGTGCATCTAAAAGTGCATCAAAGGTGCATCTGAAAGTGCATGTGCTACGGCTGCATGCATAACAGTCTGGATGGCCCCTGTGACGTATGCTTAAAGAGTTGAGTCGACTAAAAAATCCTATGTTACTCAGACATGCATAGCCTCTTACTCATTCCGTAGACAGTGCACATGCCATGCAAGAAAAGGTACAAGCATAAGGAGCAAGCCACTATTTGAGTGCACTCAAACAAACATGCATGCCTGCCACCCCGTACGTACAAGGGAGCCATATAGGAGGATCTGAAGGCTGCTCTTGCGACCCAGGGGAAGCAACCGCATGACCTGAAGGGACGGGTGGTGGTATGGGGAATGGCATGGGTGGTGGCATGGGTGGTGGCATGATTAGTTCGCGATGGCAAACGATTGGGGGGTTTAGACAGAAACTTGTATGGGAGAGACATCTGGAACCGAACAAGCGAACATCATCATTCACTGCACACACCTGGTAGAGAATGACGATGACCACGAGAAGCACGCCCAGCGTCATGCCCCCTCCGTAGTAAAACGCTACCATAGAGCTCAGATGACCCGCCAGCAGCATGAGCAGGAACCCCAGGACAAAGAACACCGCCCGGTGAGGCTCCAAGTCTGATTAAACACAGAGAGGAGAGGGAAGTGAGGAAACTTAAATAAAAGAAGTTACAACACAACTGTGAGGCCGTTAGAGAATAGGAACCAAAAAAAAAAAAAAGAGGAGTCGGTGGCGGGCATACGATGACGGAGAGTTGAGTTGAATTGGCGGTTTCGATACCTTCCTCCCTCTCACCTTCGTCTACTTTAATGCTGACGTCATGGTCCCCAATGACCCCGCCCTCTCGTTTCACATCAATGAACGCGCCCTCGAAAGGTGACCGCAGCACCACCCACCGCCCCTTTCTGTCCACTGCTCGCCACGCCCCCCTTGGGCACTCCCCCAGGGGTTGCGAGGCATTCCTGGGGTGATGCAGAGGAGGGGAGCATCGGGAACGAGACGCAATTAGCACGGAGAAAAGGGGATCCTAGCACAAACGACCCACCCACATGCCCGCCCACCGCCCCTTTCTGTCCACTGCTCGCCACGCACCCCGCTGACCCTCACTCGCTCACCAGTGCACGCAGAACTCAAACTTGGGGCCGCTGGCAAAAGCGCCACGTGGCATGATCCCTGCAGGAATGGTGGCCGTGACTCTGAGCACGTGGAAGCCACGAGACACGCCCCTCAGGCGTGGCCGAGCCGGGAGGCGCGTGCGAGCGATGCAGACGGAAGCAGTGCCGTCCACTGATGGTACTGGGTCTGAAACATCCACACTGTTCACGCCCAGATGGAGCTCTGAAAAGGGGTTGGGTGGAGGAGGGGAGGGAAGCAAGGTGTGCTGTGAAGGTGGGGGCACGGCACCGTCCTCTGATGCTACTGGGTGTGAACCCTCCACGCTGTTGACGCCCAGATGAAGCTCTGATGAAAGTTGGGTGGGGAAAAGAGATGAATGTGTGGTGAGCTGTGAAGGTGTTACGAGATACGTCGCCTGCTGCTAGTGGGTCTGAAACCTCCACACTCTATAATATGCCAGCTTTTGAGTCGAATCACTCAGAGAATGAGTTTCAAGAGGTTTCAGTCGACACACCTCGTGGAGTATAGCCGTTGGAGGCTCCTCGTTCCGTGTGGAAATCGCTGAACGCGTAGCTGCCGCCTGTGGGATTCTCGAATGCACTGACTGGCGAAGTTCCCGAGGCCAGGAGCGCCAGCAGGAAAACAGAACACGCCATCCCGATATAACGAAGCTTAACCGACGTGCAACGGATACTGACGCGGATTCTACGAATTTCGAGAGCCATGAGCGATGGCCGGGCACAGCAACCCTGGTCTAGAGTTAGCACACAGTTAATAGCTACCTCGTTAATAGTCCAGTCCTTGTCAGTCAAGGACACCCTTAGCTACGATTTGAGTTCAACCGTTTTAGAGTGACTGCTTAGAGGCGGACTTCTGGTCTACTGCAATCGGGTAGCGCCTAACTATTAACCTAAATTTCTTGACAATGAGGCTGATCAGGCAAGTTCCGGTCCCTCTTGGTCCTCAACTTAGTCGTCAGCTGACTTATTAGTCTAACAAGTTCCGGCCTCCCTTAGTTGTTCAGGCACGTTGGTGACTCTATGACGCACCTTCCAGGGCACAGAAGACGAGAATGCTCTGATATCCATCATAGTATGCTCACTAACACTCAGATTAATCGGAACAGAACACTCCGAAACTCAGATTAATCGGAACACTCATCACCTGCAGCTTTCGTCCTCGACAACCAGCGGAAAACATGCAGGAATTTCAGGAGCCAATTGCTATCGAATATATTCGCACGCGCGTCGCGACCGAGGTCAACGTCGCAACTATCACCAGCCTAATTGCCAATCCTGAGCGTACAACTAAGGACGAATCGCGATAGCGACCTGATCAGAAAAGCTCGGAAAAGCTGATCAGGGAGATTCATAAACCTGAAGGCCAATTCCATGCGAGGGAGGGAGTTTTGGCGGGAAACGCCTCGAATCAGACGGAAAGATGGAGCGAGGCGACTCGCTTCTAGTTGATCCGCTAAGAACATTGAAATGGATATTCTTCAAACAAGGAACCGACGTTAATGCTTAAAACTATTATTCCCAGATCCATACGGCATATCCCTCCCCACATGTAATCAAGTTCCACTTCCTCGACCAGGAATCACTTGTTCTATCACTCCCTATCCCTCCACCCTCACTCACATGACAACAATCACCTGACTTCAAAGCCCCTTCTATTTCATTGCAATCAGGGCTCCACTCTCCATCTCCAATCTTCACACACAGATTCCCCCCGATGATGGCGGCATATCTGCTGTCATCTGCTGCCAGTATCCGGATGGAAGAACGGCTATGTATGCCTGCCCTTCGCCGAGCATCAATCTGCCATCGATGCAACAGCGCAAAAGTAAATGCTCGCCGTAGTAAACCTTAAGGTAACAGTATGCACAGCATGTACGAACAACAGGCAACATCCACCCAAAAGTTCCAACAAGGCGATGCAGAAGCAACCCTGCAACGAAGCAAGCAAGCCCCCTATTCAATCTCACCAGCTGCTGAATTTGGATCTTGAGATCCACGCCCCAGTCAAAGAAATGGTCATAAAACACTGATGGGATGCCCGGATGTGTGAGGACGTAGGCATAGCCCTGTGGGGAGTGGAGGGCGAAGTGGGGAGAAAGGTGCAATGTATAGCTGAGAAAGGAATGGTGCTCTTGAAGGGGCCATAGTTGAGACATTAGGGAGGAAACGAGAGAATGGGATCAAATTGGAAGAGACCAGCAACATGTCAACAGGGAAGCTGGCTTCCCTGGGAAGTAAAAAAAAAAAAAAAAGAACAGGCGAATGTTTGTGTGTGTGTGCCTGTGTGTGTGTGTGTGTGTGTGTGTGTGTGTGTGTGTGTGTGTGTGTGTGTGTGTGGACGAGAATGAGAGAAAAACGTGGGAAGAGGGCAGTTGACTTGCCTGGATGACAGCATGAGAGGGGAAGGGCCAGTGAGCCTGCACGGCACAGTCACAGGCACACACACAGGGCGAGAGGGACACACAGGGTAAGAGGGACTGTTACAAATCATAGATAGGAGGAGAGGAGGTGAAACGTTACAACTCAACAAACCAAGACAAGTCTCCATCAGCAAGTGCACCGTGCACGGACTTCAGATACACCATGCTGGAACCATCAATACGTTGGATTCTCCTGAATGTCTGTGACATTCACCTGGATATCAGTTGCATTTACCTGAGTGGAGCCGGTGTCATGGTTGTCGACAAATGTGACGGCATGAGAGGGCAGCAGACCCATCACGCCTGGCGGGCGGCCTTCCTTGTCCTTCAGCCGCCACCACTCCTTCCTTTTCACTGCCTCCTGCAGAGGGGTGGGAGGCGCAGGGAGAGGCAGAATCACGACACATGCAGAGAGGCAGAATCACGACACATGCAGAGAGGCAGAATCACGACACATGCAGAGAGGCAGAGGCAGGGGCACGGGCAGTGGCACGTGCATGAGAGGTGCAGAGAGAGAGAGGCAGGGGCATGCAGAATGGTCTGGGTGGCGAAGTCCGAGAGGATGCAGCTAGCGAGCACTCACGTTCCCCCTCAAGCCTGCTCAGTACAAGGGTATGTCCCCCTCTCACTCACTCATTCACTCATTCACTCACTCACTCACTCACTAACTCGCCTCCTCTCCGCAGAACCCGTCAACCAATCACCTGCAGAACCGCTTTTGTGGTAAAGTCGAAGGCTGCTGCCAGCCTGCCCGCCCCTTCAATCCACTCCACTATGCGCCCCCGATGCGAGTCTGGCTGCACAGCAGCCGGGTGGAGGTGAACATGGGGGGAGGTAAATACCCGGGGAAGGGATATCCAGGAAGGTGATGTTTGAGGGAGGTGATATTAGAAAAAGGTGATATCCAGGGGAGGCGTTGCACGGTTCAAGAATGCGTACTGTTGAAAGTATCACCATTGGGTACGCTTTCACTTGTATACCCTACAACAGGGTATCTCCAAAGAATGCCCTAATACTGTCACTTCAACCTCTCGCCCACAACGGTTGTAGTCAAGGTATTATATTATATGGGTCCAACACCAATGCAGGTTCTCCCGTCAGCCACACACTGACATGCCCACACTACCAGTCTCGCAATCGCCAAAAGGAGACGATTCTTGGGACATGCTCACACACTCACACGCGCACACACTTACACACTCACACACTCTCCCACTCTCACCCTCTCACCCACCCTGGTCGTAGTCAAGGTCGTATTGTGGGCCGATGTAATTGCAGGTGTCCCAGTACTCGCCCACACACAAGCGCAGGCGTGCCCCCCGCACATACCCCCGCACATAGGCCGCGCTGTACCCCTTGCCATAGTCAAAGCGGAACCCTGAGAACCCCACATCGGCCTGCGGGCATGAGGCATGGGACATGGGAGGGCATGGTGCATGGGGCACGGGGCATGGCATGGGGCACGGGGCATGGCATGGGGGCATGGCATAGGGCATGGGGCATGGCATGGGGCACGGGGCATGGCATGGGGCATGGGGCATGGCATGGGGCATGGGGCATGGGGCATGGCATGGGGCACGGGGCATGGGAGCAGAGGGAAACAGTAGAGGCACAGATTGGTGAAGCCACGCACCTAAGCCATGCCATCAAGTCTGACCTGGAGCCACGTCAGCCATGCCACAAATCTCACCTGGAGCCACGTCAGCCATGCCACATGTCTCACCTGGAGCCACGTCAGCCATGCTGTGAGATCTCGGCGCACGAACGGTTGAGAGTGGTCGATGTTGGATACCCCCTCAAACACACTGCCACTGCTGGGGTTGCCCTGCCGAGGGGAAATGGGTGGAGGTTGACAGGGAAAAGTCCCAAGCGGTTGAGAGTGGCTGATATGGATTGCATACCCCCTCAAACACACTGCCTCTGCTGGGGTTGCCCAGCCGAGAGGACGAAGGGAGGGAAAGGACAAAGGGCAAAAGCGTTTTTAAGGGAAGAGGAGGGTGAAGGAGCAGAACATACCCCTCTGGAGCAGGGACGGATGTGTTCTGGATGTGGCAGAACCTTTCACCTTCCCACATCCCACCTCGCCCTCAATGTCACAGGTGACAGGCTCCCGTCCCACAGCATGGACGTGCCATTGGAAGAACCCCACAGCCTGCCCTTCCCCTGTCAACTGCGCGCACCACATCTGCCACTTCCACCTCACCATACCCAGCCTTAACTCGGCTCACCGCGCCTCACCGCACTTCACCTCGCCCCGTCTCACCTTGCCGCCAATGTCACAGGTGACAGCAGTCTCGTGCCATGGCATGGAGGTGCCGTCAAAGCGAGTCCACTGCCCGCCCTCCCCCAGTCAACTCCATGCACCACATCTGCCACTTCCACCTCACATTACCCCACCGCACCTCACCTCTTCCAACCGCTCCTCACCCACTTCACCTCACGTCACCACTTCTCACCTTGCCGCCAGAGTCACAGGTGACAGCACTCTCGTCCCATGGCATGGAGGTGCCGTCAAAGCGAGTCCACTGCCCGCCCTCCCCCAGCTGGCTTCCCACCCGGTGGTTTACCACAACGTCTGCTATCACCCTCACGCCCCCTGCGCTCCCAGCACCACCAGTGGCAGCACCATCAGCGGCAGCACATCCCATGGCAGAGCTATCAGTAGTGGTACCAGGTGCACAATCAGCTGCTTGATCCAACCCACTGTCCGGATTCATGTCAGTCACCGCTGCACCACCCGCAGCAGGGGCTGAAGGGGACGAAGCAGCAGCAACAGTAGCAGAATCATCCCCAGCAGCAGGAGTAGCAGCAGCACCATTAGCAGCAGACGTTGAGGGTACTCCAGAGTGGGGCTGGGCGGCCCTGAACGCAGCAATGAGAGCACGGAGATCTGCCTCTGAGCCGTATGCTGATGATAGGTGGTAGAGGTCCTTAGGCAGGTAGCCTGTTGGGGGGAGAAAGGGGAGGGAAGAGAGCGAGTGGGGGAGGGCAAGAGGGATAATGAAGAATGACTCGGAGCCGTATGCTGATGCCAGGTGGTAGAGGTCCTTGGGCGGGTAGCCTGGGAGTGGGGAGAGAGGGGAGGTGAGGCAGAGAGAGGGGTTGAGGGTACCGCAGTGCTGGGCTGGGCGGCCCTGAGAGCAGCAAAGAGGGTGCGGAGATCTGCCTCGGAGGCGTATGCTGATGATAGGTGGTAGAGGTCCTTGGGCAGGTAGCCTGGGGGGAGAGAGAGTGAGAAAATGAGAAGTATAGGAGGACAAAAGAGTGGGGAACAATTGAGAATGGTGTGGAGTGAGCAGGGTTTGACTCCAGCTCTCAGAAGAATCAGTCGTGTGCTTACCTTGAGGGGCGAGAGAGGAAGTGGCGGGGGCCAGCCAGACAGCCGTAAAGCCAGCAGCAGCAATGGCGGGCGCGAGGGAGGCCAGGTGCCGCCACCAGCTCTGGTGGTGGCCGCAATTCAAAGAGGCAGGGGGCTTACCTTGAGGGGCGAGAGAGGAAGCGGCGGGGGGTTTACCTTGTGGGGCAAGGGACGAAGAGGCGGGGGGTAGCCAGACAGCCGTGAAGCCAGCAGCAGCAATGGCAGGCCCGAGGGAGGCTAGGTGCCGCCACCAGCCCTGGGGTTGACCGTGTGACTCCCAGTTAAAGCCCTGGTGTAAGGGAAGGGGAAAAGGGAGGAGTGAAACGTGAAACTTGGGAAAGTACTAGAGCACGTGAGTACATGAAACTTGGGAAAGTACTAAAGCACATGAGTACATGAAACTTGGGAAAGTACTAAAGCACATGAGTACATGAAACTTGGGAAAGTACTAAAGCACATGAGTACATGAAACATGGGAAACTAATAGAGGAGGCGAGTGCATGGATACCTATAAAACGTTAACGCTCTGAACTGTTGTATGCGTACACCGTTATACCAACAAACCCTCATTTACCAAAGAAGTTCAACATTTTCGTTACCTGCAGCACGATCTGGTTGCTCCAATCGCTAATGGCTTGAGCTGTCGAGGCAAGGGGAGACAAAAGGGCGGCAGAAACAGGAACTTATGAATAATTCAAAGAAACAGGAAACGAAGTCGTTGGTGGATGATAGGGACGCGAAGGACATGCTGGAAATCGCCCTGTCACTGTCACCCACCTCATCATCCACACAAACGAAACGGGAAAGACATGGATCGAGGGAATGACGAAGAAATCTGCAACTCCGAGAACGTCTATTGCGGCGTGCAACCCTGAAAAACATGGAGTGAACAACGTGGAATCTGGAAGCATCTAGGTCGCAAGTTGGCAGCAGGTATCATGGAGACTGCAAAAATCTGAATACATTACTTTGCCTCGTCAGAATTCGGAATCACATGGATCTGGAGCGGTAGCCACCTATCTTCATGTATTCTCGGTTACCTTGCAGCAACTTGAGGAGTTTACCTTCATCCGAGTCCCCTGGCAGGTCTCTCGTATCCCTCCCCCATCCTTAGAGAATTCTCAAATGTGACACATGCATGTCCCTTCCGTTACCTTGCAGTAACTTGAGCAGTTCATCTTCTTCCAAGTCCCCTGGCAGGTCTCCCTTATCTCTCCCCTCACCCTTCCCCTCATCCCCTTCCTCATCCCCATCACCACTACCTCTCCGCCTCATATCCTCACGCCCATCCACTGCATCTTTACCCTCTTCTCTCCAAACCCCACTCTCGCCTCGTCCCTCCGCCCATCCGCTCCTTTCCCCTTCCCCCTGTCGTCCCCCCACCTGCTCCCTGCTCTCTGCCCCTCCAGCCACAGCTGGGCCAAGCCACTCTCTCTCACTCCTTTCGCTCCCGTCGGTTTGAATCCCCTCCATCTCCTCAGCACTACCTTCTGTGCCTAGCTCATCGCTCCCCCTTCCAGTTAAACCCTCCAGTTCATTCTCGCTCCCAGCGGTCTCCCCACCACTCCCCCCAACTGGCTCCCCTACTCTCTCCACACCAGCTGTAAGAGTTTCCGGGCCTTCCTTCGTCTTCCCTGATCTCGCTTCCACCCTCCCTCCATCAGGTTCCTTGAACGTCAAGGAACGAATGTAATCTACCGTGCCCTCTGCTATCCCCCCATTCCCTGCAGCAACATCCCTTGCACCACCCCGAGCAACCCCCCCTGCAAAACCTCTTGCCGCATCTCCCGCCATCCCCTCTCTCCCCCGTAATCTGCCTTGTTGTGTGTCTGCACGCTTCCCTGCACGCTCGCCTGCCTCCTCTGCACGCTTCCCTGTACGATCGCCTGCCTCCTCTGCACGCTTCCCTGTACGCTCGCCTTTCTCCTCTGCACGCTCCTCATCACGCCCTTCTGCACGCCCCTCGGCACGCTTCCCTGCACGCTCAAGTGATTTTTGAGGCGCCTCAAACATCTCCTCACTCCCCCGTAATCTGCCTTCTTGTGTGTCTGCACGCTTCCCTGCACGCTTCCCTGTACGCTCGCCTTTCTCCTCTGCACGCTCCTCATCACGCCCTTCTGCACGCCCCTCAGCACGCTTCCCTGCACGCTCAAGTGATTTTTGAGGCGCCTCAAACATCTCCTCACTCCCCCGTAATCTGCCTTCTTGTGTGTCTGCACGCTTCCCTGCACGCTTCCCTGTACGCTCGCCTTTCTCCTCTGCACGTTCCTCCTCATCACGCCCTTCTGCACGCCCCACGGCACGCTTCCCTGCACGCTCAAGTGCTGTCTGGGCGAACCGAGAGTGCAGCAGCATGAGAGCAGCGGCGCAAGCAGCAGCAGCAGAAGCGGCCACAGCAAGGGTCAGCTGTGCGGGAGGTGGGCGATTGAGGCCACTGCTGCTGCTGCTGGGGGAGGAGACTGAGGATGGGAGGGAGGGGTGGAATGGAGAGGCACGGAGGGAGCGTTGAAGACAGGATGGTAAGAATTGACAAAGAGAACGAACAGAAGCGTGAACCAGGGTTCAATGAGCAACTGAAGTGGGGGGAATGAGCAAATGTGAAAAGGGAGTACCGTTAGGAGATCCAACAGAAAAGATCCAATCATGCTGCTTCCGAGGCATGGACCGGCTGACTGCGTATCGGTCGGCAGCAGGCTGCTTCTCGTCCCGCTCGCCCTCCTTGCCCTCCCTGCCTTCTTCGTCCTTCTCGTCCCTCACTTCTTCCTCCTCCTCTCCCTCTAGCTTCTCTTCCGAAGCGGTCAGCTGTTTAAATTCCTCGTTTCTTCCTCCTGCTCGTGCGCTCCTTTCCCAAGACTTCCGAAGGAGATTCCTGTGCGCAGAACAGCGAAAAAGAAGAGGGGAAGAGTGCAAAGGGATAAGCGCAATTGTCACGGGTTGATTGTGAAGGGATGAATGTCAAGGAACGAATGCCGAGCGATGAATGTTGAGTGCGTCACAGGTATACCAACAGAGTGTGATTCGGAACGAGACATAATTGTTGGAGTAAAACCTTTCAACAGGAAACGTTGCAACTTGTCTTGCCATCACCTGCATGGACATACGGAATGAACGATTACATACTTTCGCGAAGCTCGTCTGGTCCTTCCAGATTCGCTTCTCGCCTTGATGTCTTCGCCGAGCTGGTTACTACCACTCGAAGTGTCGCCTTTCTGTCGCTTACGTCGCTCAAGCGAGTTCGCGAAAACTACTACGCGCCAGGAGGATCTGGTTACCCCATCGCCGTCTACACGTGGAGGCTGTCTGCCGGCGCCGGCAAGTAAGAAAGACTGTCCAGTATAGACGAACTTCGCGCCGTCAGCTCGTTGACTGTTAAGCCAATGGCGAGAACTGTGCTTTTTCGGAAGGGACCGAACGTGAGCTGAGCACGGTCGCCATGACATTGTGGCTGATGCATTTTCTGATGGTGACTGCAGAGACTCGTCTTCAATGACCGCAATTCATTCAGCCATGCCACTCAAATTCACTGAACAAAGCGGTTCTTTTCCACTTTAGAGCGCTTGGATAGGTCTAGGAAGGATGTTGAACTGCTAAAGCAAGGTAAGGGGAAAATTCTGGAAGTTATAGGTTTGCTTGGCGGGCACTGGATTGCCAAATTCTGGAGTGGAAATCCGCGTTCAGCGATAAATTCTTTTCATAGTAAATGTTCTTGGGGAATGTGTCAGTGCTTTGTACACATTACAGCGTTACTGAGAATATGAACTGGCGAGCCAATCAATGAGCTCGCCAATTATTTTGGCGCCAAGTTTGACCAGAAACACGAAAACCTCACGGTCGCAAGAGGACCAACGCAACGGCTACTGTCCCTCCGATCTGACAACAACTTCGTTTATAATCACACCCCATAAACTAGCTCCAGACTTCCAGAATCCAACTTTCTCAACCACTCCATCAGAATCTTCCAGCAGTAATCTAGGCACTAGGACGGACACATTCTGTCAAACCTAAATTTTAGTTCGCAAGCATAATTTTGCAGAGCAGATCCTACTCATCCTTTCACTACAGTTTTCGAAAACAGTGACTCGCCTGCCAGTTCTTCCCTGTCATCTCTGCTGAGGAGGATTTATTTTGAGCACACCTCGTCATGGCGGGCCCAGGAGAGGTAATGTCAGCCGTTCTTTCCGTGTTTGTCTTCAGAATTCGGCAATAAACAAGTGCGGTGGACGTGATCTTATGTAAACACTGGTGAAACGTGGACTCTCTTGGGATATTGAACCCAGTCATTGACTTTTTGCTAATGGATCTCGCCGTACATCTTAAAATTTTCTCATGCAACAGCCTCGAAATGAGCTGGTTGCCTTATTTCCTTGGTCAGGTGCCATCTCCACCTCCCTGATCCTGATTCTCCGCATTCTACCATCGACCTGAAATCCTTTCTCAAATTTCGCCTTTTATCTCCGTTTCCCCAGGGACAGACGGTCCTTCAGGCTCAACCCCACGCTCCTGGTCGTCCTGGTGGTAGTGGCTTGTTTTATTTCGATTTCTTTTTAAAAGTGCATCTCTTATTTTCCTTTTTCCTACAGGGTCAAACGCCACCTGATTCAGGCTTCAACCCCACGCTGCTAGTCATCCTGGTCGTGGTGGGCTTCTTCGTTCTCTTCCTCGTCGGCCACGCTGCCATGTACTTCTACGCACAGAGCGTTCTGCCACCCAAGAAGAAGAAACCCGTCTCACAGAGGAAGCTGAAGCGGGAACGCCTCAAGCAGGGGGTCTCAATCCCTGGTGAATGAAGCGGGAAAGTCGTTCACAATTGTTATACGTAGCTCATTATACTGTAGCATTGTCTTATGACGTGGAAACATATCGTTTTACCAGCTCCAACAGTTCTTTGTCCAGCAAAACCCCACACCCTGAAAGCGCTGAACTTTCCCTTACAACTCATGGACTACACAAATGAAGCCTGTAAAACAAAACTACCCTGCTAACCTACACAAAGCTGGGCTACTCCAACCAGTAGGTACTCAATGTCCCTTACTCGCCCCCAACGTGTAAGAAAATGATGTCCGTATGCCTGGACTAGGGCGAGTGGTACTAGCAGTTGACCCTAAAGGGCTGGTGTATGGGCTGTTACTGGAAGCGCTGCTGAAGCTGCCTTGATTGGCCACGGCAGTGCCGCTGGCAGTGGCAGTCGCGCCAAGGTTGCTCAAGCTTCGCCTTGCTGCCCTCCTGTTGTTGCTGACCAGCCGCTGAACAGTGTCCACCAGCAAGCTGTGCAAGACGGAAGCAGAGACAAGCACCGAGAGCCAGGGTCACAGGGAGATGACTTTTTAGGCGCTTGAACAACGAGCAAGCTGTGCAAGTTAGGAGCACAGCCACAGATGGAAAATGCATGAAGCTGTTAACATGGATGCTATGCATGACCTTCCCCTTTGTACGCACCGTATGTTGATTGGCTTTGTGAGGTACCCATCCATTCCTGCCTGCCTGCACTTGGCCTCGTCACTGCGTGCCAGACAAGGGGCAAAAGAAAGGTTGGCAAAGAGAGGTTGGCAAGAGAGGGAGAGGCAAAACGAGATGATACATGGAACTCCCTCCCCCACCCGGCGAGTGCATGAGCAGTGAGCGTACAGATGACAGTGTGCAATGCAAAGCAGTGCGAAGTGGTGCAGAGGATTTTGCAGAGCAACTGCCATTCCCTCACCTGGCGAGTGCATGAGCAGTGAGTGCACAGATGACAGTGTGGCGCCCCGTGCCCCTCTCTGCGGCACGAATGGTCCTCGTGGCCGTATACCCATCCATCACTGGCATCTGCATGGGCGGACAGGCAAAGGGAGAGGCATCTTGATGCGTGTGCTGAATCGGTGTGATGAGGTGCGATGACGAGCACTAGGAAAACGCCAAGTACCTGGCAGTCCATGAGCACAATGTCGAAGGGATCCGCTGCTGCTGCTGCTGCTGCATCCCCTACTCCACCCATCCCACTGCCCTTGCACCCATCCACCCCAGCTGTAGCCACCACATCACTGCCACAATTCGCTGCTGCAGATGACGCTGCTACAACTGACGCTGCAACAGCCGATGCTGCTACAGCTGTCCCTGCTGGGTCAAACGGGTTGGAAAAGGACGACCTGGGTCTCTCCTCTCCCCTCTCTGCGAGCTGTGACTCAATGGCCTCAGAGCTCCGACCCTGCTGCACACCTGCTGCCTCCCACCCTTCCCCAAAACCACCTCCTCCCCCGCCTCCTGCTTCAGCTTCTTCAGCTGCTGCCGCTGCAGCTGCTCCCCCTCCTCCCCCTCTCAATGCTGTTCCCACGGGAGGGCTTGACGAGAGAGATGAGGCCAGAGGGCTGGAAGAGAGGGGGGAGGCGGAGGGGAGGGCAGAGAGGAGGAAGGAGACAGAGCCACTGCTGCCCCGGCGAGGCTTCCAGCGAAAAGGACCTGCGGTGGGCGAGAGTGAGGCAGAATGAACAACAGCGACAGAGGGAGAGGCAGTGGCAGAGTGAAGGGCAGTGGCAGCAGAGGAAAAGAGAGACTGGACAGTGCTGGTAGGGGTGCGGGGGCTGCTTGCTTTGCCTGCGTTTCCCGCACTGCCTGTATGGGTTGTCCCTGCGGTGCTGTGTGGTGCAGCTGCTGCTGCTACAGTTGATTCTGCTGCTGTTGCTGCGGATGAGCCGGCCAGAATCGCTTCTCTCGACATGCTGAAACTCTTCCTCCTCCTGCTGCCACTGCCACTAATGCTAGCATTACCAGCACCACTACCACCGCCACCACCAGCATCACCCACACCACCAGCACCACCAGAACCACCACAAGCCGCAACAGCAGCAGCAGCAGCACCAGAAGTCTCATCGTCATCCCCCCACGAGCTCAGCACAGCAGCAACAGCCTGCTGCCCATCCGAAGCCACAGCCACATGGGCTCCCATTTTCCTAAGCATGGACGCTGCCAGCTTCTGCAGCACTGCTGTGTCCTCCACCACCAGGATATGCAGCCCTGCCAGCGGCTGGCCTGTCGGCATCGCCCCTCCCCCTGCCGCTCCTCCTCCTGCTCCTCCTGCTGCTCCCCCTGCTGCTGCTGCGGCTCCTCCTGCTGCTGCTCCTGCTGCTGTGGGTCTACCAGTGGTGTCTCTCCCAGGGGTGTGGGCCCCTGCCATGCCTCGCCTCGCCTTGCTCTGCGGCACTTCAAAGCTGGGCCGCGCTCGCCAGGCAGGGGCGTCAGCATCAAAGCTTGGCCGAGCTGCTGTGGGAGGGGTGGTGGGGGTGGACGGGCCCACGCTGCCAGGGAGGGAGGAGGAGGACGGGGCAGGCGTGGGAGGAGTGAGTCCCGAAGCAGATCCCGAAGCAGAAGCAGAAGCAGAAGCAGAAGCAGAGGCAGCTGTGGAAGCGAATGGACCAGACAATCTTTGAGCCCGCCGCTGCTTCTGCCGACTCCCTTCCCGCGACCTCCTTCCTGGTGTGACCGCCGGGGACTGGTGATTCGATCCCACGCTTCCCTCTCGTGAATGCTGCGGCGACTTGTGAGTCGACTGCCTGCTTTCCTCTCTTGAACTCCTTCCAGGGGTGATGGCTCGCCTGCCATTGCTGCTGCTGCTGTCACCGAATTTGGAAATTCTGGCCGTTCCTGTTGGTGCTGCTGTTGCTGTTGCTGTTGCTGTTGCTGCTGCTACCGTTGCCTCGTAGTCTGATGAGGAGTTGCTGCGGAAGAGGCCTGATAGGCCAGAGAGGCGGTTCGTGAGGGAGTGAGTGAGGGAGTGAGTGAGGGAGTGAGAGAGGGAGTGAGAGAGGGAGTGAGAGAGGGAGTGATTGAGAGAGTTTGTTGGGCTGCGAGCCTTGGACTGTGTTCTAGTCGGGCGAGGCTGACCCTCCCCACGTCCCTCTCCCCTTCCGTCCCCCCCTCTTTCTCCCCCTCTCTCCCCGCATCCCTCTCCCCCACCCTCCCTTTCTCTCTCTCCTCCGCCCTCCCCTCCTCTCCCTCCCACTCCCTCTGCCCCTCCCGCGACACTCCTCCTCTCACTACCACTCCACACCGAGCTCAACACCTCTGCAATAGAGCCAAACGGCAACAGCGCTCCTGCTAGCGGACTAGGGGTGTTTGGCTGGCTACCATGGCCGCTAAAAGCTGACATTCGCGCTGCTGCTGCACCTACTGCTGCTGCTGCTGTACCTGCTGCTCCTCCTCCTCCTGCTGCTCCCCCTGTTGCTGCTCCAACTGTGGCAGTTGCTGTATCCGGTTGAGCTTCTGTGTCACCTCCCCACTCACCCTTTTGAGTCGACTCAAAAGCTTCTGTGTCACCTCCCCACTCACCCTTCTCCCCACTGTCCGTTCTTGCACCAATCCTCTCCACCCCGCTCCCTCCCATTCCTCGCCTAGAAAACCCCCTTGGGTTGTCACTGCAGCAAGGGCTCGTGGAAGGGCGTTGGGGGACGGTGTAGGAGAGAGAGGGGAACGGCTCAGGTTGATTCTGGGCGTGGGAAGTTGATTCGATGGAGAGGTGTGACGAGTGGTGCTGCAGGGTGTTGGGTGTAGCGGATGTGGTGCGCAGGAGAGATGAAGAGTGCTGCCAAGGGAGCTGATGGGTGGTTGGTGATTGTGGCACCTGCTGCTGCTCTTGCTGCTGCTCTTGCTGCTGCTGTTGCTGCGCTTGTAGCTCCCTCTTCTTCTGCTCCCCCTCCTTTTGCTGCTGCGTCTGCTGCACTCTATGGCCAGCTGGCAGCTCCAGGTGCTTCGTCAGGTCAGCATCAACCTCCCTCCACTCATCTGAACTCAATCTAGGTTCACTAAGAACCGCTACAAAGTCTCTCCTCTCAGACCCTCCGAGCAAGTTTCCTTCCTCAGAGCCACTGGGCGAGTCTCTCCCTTGAGAGAAATCAAGCAACTCTCTCCCCACATACCCTCTCCCTTCAGAACCACCATTCAACTCTGGTCCCCCAGAACCTTCAGGCACTTGTACAGACAGCCCCCTCAGAAGCCCAAACTCCAACGCTGATCCTGTCCTAGGAATTTTCCCTCCCGTGCCGTGCCCATCCTGCTGGGTTGTCTCTGACGCAGCGGGCACTCTTGACCGGCCTGCTTCCACGCTAGCAGCAATGCCAGCGGCAGTGCCAGCAGCAATGTGAGCAGCACAAGCAGCTCCTCCTGTCCCCTCTGCTTCCACCACTCCCCCAGCTGCTAATGCGCCCTCTGCTTCTCCACCTCCTTCCTTCACTTCTCTTGACTGCATGCCTGGCTGCATACTCGTTCGTACAACTGGTTCTGCCTCAAGGCCAGAAAAACAGAGTGGCAGAGTGGTGTACCTGGCAGAGTGGTGGTTGTGAGGCGCCTCAAGAAAAACAGACGCCCCACTTGTCCCATCCACCCCACTCGCCCCACTACCACAGTATCTAGCAGAGTGGTGTTTGTGAGGCGCCTCAAGCACAGATGCCTCACTAGCAGTGTACCTGGCAGAAGGGTATTTCTGAGGCTCGTCAAGGGCAGACGCCCCACCAGTCACCTCACTAGCAGCGTACCTGGCAGAATGGTGTTTCTGAGGCGCGTCAAGAGCAACCATTCCACTCGTTCCATTCGCCCCAGCCACAGAGTACCTGGCTGAATGGTGCTGGAGCGACCTTCTGGGCATGGGAACCACACGAGGGGCGTCTAGAGGGGCTGAGCTTGTGCGAGGCATGCTCCTGGCAATCAGGCCAACATTGGGCATCCCTTTGTTGGACGCATCGAGAGAAGCAGAGGTGGTGCGAGCCATGCTTTCGGGTGCATCAGGGGCGTTGGAGCTGGTGCGGGCCGTGCCTTTGCTGGGAGCGTCAAGAGAAACAGAGCTGGTGTGAGACATGCCTTTGGATGCGTCTAGAAGAGCGGATTTGGAGCTGGAATTGGTACGGGCCATTCTGTGAAAGCCTCGCAGGTAGCCTGCTGCGTGCGAGTGAGGCGAGGACACAAAAGCGGGTGGAGCTGCTGCTGCTGCTGCTGAGCTTTCCGCTGCTAGTCCCGGCCTGAGAGAGCTTGCTGCTGCTTGCTGGGAGGAGAAGGAGGAGTGGTTGGAGTGGGTGGGATGGTTGCTGGTGGAGTAGAGTACGGTGCTGCCTTTGAGGAATGCTGGTGGCTGTGAGAATGTTGACTCTGTGTTCTCTGCCCCTCTCCTGTGGTAAGCCACTGGCTGGGAGTGAGGCGACGGGGCTTGGGTTGGTGATATGGCTAGGGCAGGTGACGTGGCATGAGCAGGTGACGTGGCATGGGCAGGTGACGAGGCATGGGCAGGTGACATGGCGTGGGCACTAGTAGAGTAAGGCGAAGGAGCATGCAGATTACCAGTGGAACCACCCAGCCCCATCCCCATGCCCATGCCCATGCCCATGCCCATGCCCATGCCCATGCCCATGCTGCTCTCATGCATTCCTAATCCACTGGCACTACCAGCGCTTCCCCTCCGCACATGCAGTCCCATGGTCCTTCTCCTCCCACTGCTACTCCCCCCTCCTCCACGCAAGTCATACTTACTACCACCACCAGGGAGACTCCCACTCCTGCTCCCCCCTCCTCCCTGCAGGTCGTACTTTCTGCTACCACCAGCAAGACTTGGGCTGCCACTGCTGCTCCTCCCGCTCCCCCGAAGGTCGTACCTACCACTACCTCCGCCAGGGAGCTTTCTAGGAACATTCCCACGCCCAGGTGACACCTTATACGCTTCTGGTATCGGCTCAGACCCGATCGCAAACAGCATTCCAGACAGCACGCCAGGTGAAACGCCAGGTGACACCCCAGGTGACATGCCAGGTGACATCCCAGGTGAACCACGCGGCGACATTTGCGTCGACATGTGCGGAGCTTCCAAGATGGTTTCGTGGCTCAAGCTACTAGGCCCGAATCCAGACAGCACACTGGACTGATCATACCCCATACCACCCATACCGGCCAGCACACTAGGCTGGTGGTCATAGCCTATTCCAGAGAGCATGGTGGGTTGGCAGAGAACAGAGAGGGAGGAGGCCGCTGCATAGCTCTGTACGGCTGACATGGACCGGATAAGACCCAGCCGGGACGCACCGGAGAGAGAAGCAAACTGAGGCCGGCTGGCTAGACCCGGCCAGCCCAGCCCTATTCCATTCAGGTTCCCCGCACCTGCCGCAGAAGCACCAGGAGCACCCGCAGCAAAGCGCGCCCTACCGCCGAAGCTGCTGCTCAGCTTCCGGATCTGTGCCGAGCCTCGCCCGAGGCTGCCTCCCTGGCCCGGGCTGACTAGAGTGGTAAAATGCGGAAGCGCAGAGGGAGAAGTGAGCGACGCTGAAGCAGCAGCAGCAGCTGAAGGGCGGTGGGCCAGGGAGGAGGAGGGATGGCTGAGATTCACGTTGATCATTCTAAGCCGTTCTAGACCGTCGGATAGGCTTGAGCGGGGCTGGTGGGGGTTGGCAAGACTGGTGGTATTTGTGGGGCGAGCATACTGGTCTGAGAGGGAACGGTGCTGCAAGAAGTGCACATGTAAGTGCGGAGATGCAGAGAGGTGGTGAACGGTGGGAGAAGATGCAGAGGGGTGCTGAGCTGTAAGCGCAGTTGTCAGCGGCTGTGTCTCAGCACTACCAGCAGGGGGCACGGCCGACGCAGGCAGCCTCTGAGTCGACTCGAAACTGACCGAGGCAGGCACACGCCAAGCGTTGAAAGAGAGGCGCCGCCTCCCTCCCCCTCCCTCCACCCGCTCCTCCCTCTCCACACCCTCCTCCTCTTCCCCATCCTCTTCCTCCTCCATTATCTCCTCACCCCCCACACCTGCTGCTCTTGCTTCTGCCCCCGCTGCTACTGATTTTCCCACTGTGCCACCAGCATCAACAGTAGTAGCAGCAGTAGTGGCAGCAGTGGCAACAGCTGCAGCACCAGCGGCGGCAGCAGCAACAGATTGGAGCCTGGTGCTGCGTGTGATGCTCTCCCACACAGAGTTGAGCGACGGAGGGACGTCCACAGCAGCGGACGCTGTGGGTGTAGAAAGGGACAAAGACTCTGCCACAGGCACTGCTAGGGCGGGCACTGCTGGTGCAGGCACTGCTAGGGCATGCATTTCTGGGCCAGGCATTTCAGGGACGGGCAGAAGCGTGGGGAAGGCGTTTTCTGGTGCAGTAAGGTCATAGGATTGAAACTCATGCTCTTCATCAGCCGGAAGGGCACTTCCTGCAGCAGCAGCACCCATAGCGCCATCGCTGAAGCTGCCAAACCCACCCCAGAAAGCGCGTGAACCCACACCAGCAGCCGCAATACTAGCAGTAGCACTACCACCACCACCACATGCCTCTGCGAGGCTTCCTGCTCCTGTTGCTCCTCCTGCTCCTGACTCTGCTCCTCCTGTTCTTCCCAAACCTACAGCTTCATCCACTCCTCCTGTTCCTCCCACTCCCCCCTGCTCCTTCTGGTACTCCTGCTACTCCCACATCTCCCACTCCTTCTCCCTCCACGCCTGCTACCGCTGCTACAGGGACTGTAGCAAACTCTTCAGGCCCCTTGGAGCCTGAGGTTGCAGCCACGGCAGCAGCAGCAGTCTGAGGAAGGCCAACTGGGGATATGGATGTGAGCAGAGATGTGTGATTGGCGATATGGCCAGGGGAGTGTGACTGCTGCTGCTGCTGCTGCTCCTGCTGGTGGTGGTGCTGGTGAATCATCTCGGGAGATGCTGCAGCAGCCGATGCAGCAGGCACCTCCGCAGCGGGTGGGGCCTGCATGGCAAACGAGTTTCGAGACGAGCCCCCGCCCATGGGCTCTCCGTTGAGGGCGTGGGCGAAGCAGGAGAGGATGTGGGTGAGGCGCGAGGCGTGCAGGGGGCGTGTGGTGACGAGCGAGTGGTGCTGCTGGTGTAGGTAGCGGCGCAGGCGAGGGTCCACGCCAGGAGGGACTAGCCATGCCACGACAAGAGACTCTGCCATCTGTGAGGGGGGTTGAGGTTCAAACGGCACGTAAGGGGCAAAAGGGGCAAGCGGGGCACCAGGGGCTCTTGGATGTGTGTGAGGCGCGAGGCATGCAGGGGGCGGGTGGTGCTGAGCGAGTGGTGCTGCTGGTGTAGGAAGCGACACAGGCGAGGGTCCACCCCTGGAGGGACTAGCCACGCCACGACAAGGGACTCAGCCATCTGGGGAGAAGGGGGAGTTGGGTTACAGTACAAGGTGAAACAGGGGCACAAGGGGCATAAGGGGCACCAGGGATGTGTGTGAGGCGCGAGGCGTGCAAGGGGTGCGTGGTGATGAGCGAGTGGTGATGAGCGAGTGGTGATGAGCGAGTGGTGATGAGCGAGTGGTGATGAGCGTGTGGTGATGAGCGAGTGGTGGTGCTGGTGTAGGAAGCGACACAGGCGAGGGTCCACCCCTGGAGGGACTAGCCACGCCACAACGAGTAAGTCTGCCATCTGGGAAAAAGGGAGAAGAGGGCAAATTACAGCTGGCACAACGTTGAGGGTTGCAGCAGCACAGGCGGATTCTGGTCTTCCCTCGATTCAAAAGCCACCTCAGCTCCAGGCAGAAAGGGACACAGCCAACCCGTTACCCACCTGCGGTGTCTGCGTGCGGATGGCGTTCAGATCAGCACACAGCCTCTCCAGCTCAGGCGGGACCATGAAAGGGCGAGCAGCAGGGCTACTGAGACCCCCTTCCCCGTGCACGTCAAAGCGGGGCAGGTGACTGGCAGCACTCGCCCCCACTGCTAACGGGTCCTGCTCTGCTGGGTCTATCAACGCGTTGCAAAGCCCGCGGCTTCCTGGAAGCAGCATGATGTCGATGATTGCCAGAATAGGGTAGCTGCGGTCGGCAAGCTTGATTCCATCTTTGTCCGCGTCTGTGTCTGCGTCTGCGTCTGCATCTGCATCTGCATCTGCTTGTTTGTCTGTGGCTGCTGTGGCTGTGTCCCTCTCCTCTCCCCACTCCGCCTCCTCTCTCTCCCCCTCTTTCTCCCTCTCCCCCTCTGCTTCCTCCTCCCCAACACTCTTCCGGTCCTTCCCCTTCTCCCCATCCCGGCCCTCCCTCTCCATGTCCCCTTCCCAGGTGTTCGCTCTGTGGGTGAGAACTGCTGGGGCCTCTTGAGCTGCTGCTCTCTGCTGTTGACTTGATTGACTTGTTTGACCTGGCTGAATGTGGTGGGAGGAGAACGTGTGGTGGGACGAGTGCCCAAGGCCAGCCAGAGCAGCGAGAGAAGACGGCAGCATCGATGAGAGCTCCATCTTTGCAAGCAACCCCTGGGAAGGCCTTTGAGCCGAGTCGAAGGGGGCCAGACGGGATGGCAGCCACCGCCTGCTTCCTCCCCTCTCTCCCTCCCGCCCTCCCTCGTGCCTCCCCACACTAGCAGCAGCAGAAGAAGCGTCTACAGTGTTGCCTCTATCAGCAGCAGCGGCGGCAGCAGTAGCAGCAGCAGCAGTAGGACCCAGGGAGGGCCCCACACGCCCTGCAAGCACTATTGGCGCAGTGAACGACCCCCTCCGCGCCTCAGACGACACAAACGCCCCGCCCCTTCTCTGAGAACCATTCCCTGCCTCTCCACACCCCTCTGCACCGCTCTGAATCCCTCTGTCTCCCCTTGCACCTTTCCCGTGGCCGATGGTGGCGGCAGCAGCAGTGAGGGCAGCGGTTCGGCGGCGCAGCAGGGAGGTGTGAATGGCGTGGTCCAGTGCGGTTTTGATGGTCTCCCATGCCCCCACTTCCCTCACTGCAATTCTCTTGCCCTCCAGCCATTTGGTGGCTGTGGCCCTGCCTGGACACTCCTCCATTGCCAGCACCATCTGAACCTGAACGTGATGGAAGGGGGGAAGAAGGGGGGAGTGAGGGGGGTTGTGGGGGGCCTGGGGAACAGGAGGTGCGATTGCTGCGGCCCTGCCAGGACACTCCATCGCCAGCACCACCTGAACTTGCACACACGTGACGAAAAGGAGGGAGGAATTGGTGGAAGAGGTGGGGAGGTGGGAGAAAAGGGAGGAGCTAACGGCATAGTCTGCAGCATGCTCCCACCCACTTCCCTCACTGCAATTCTCTTGCCCTCCAGCCACTTGGTGGCTGTGGCCCTGCCTGGACACTCCTCCATTGCCAGCACCATCTGAACCTGAACGTGAAGGACGGGGGGGAGAGGGGGGAAGGGGGGTTGGGTTGGGAAAGGTGTGGGAAGGGGGGGAAAACAGGAGGTGTGACTGCTGTGGCCCTGCCTGGACACCCCTCCATCGCCAGCACCACCTGAACCTGCAAGTGATTGAAGGGGAGAAGAGAGGGGGAAAAGGGGTTCGGGTTGGGAGCGGTGCGGGAGGGGGGAACAGGAGGTGCGATTGCTGTGGCATTGCAGGGCAGGAGCGGGGAGGGGTGGGAGAGGAGAGCAGGGAGATCGACCAGCCAGGTCGCTTAGTGGATTATCCAAGCAGAAAAACTTTGAGGCGCCTCAAAAGTCAGTGGTGGGAACTTCTGAGGCGCCTCAAAAGTCGACCCAGGAAAGCGGCGGTGGGGACGAGCTTACCTCGCTGTGGTTGAGAGCAGGAGGGGCTGGTTGGGGAGGGGAGGGAGCCAGCTCCCCCCATGGGTTATCCGACGGGCCTTCACCAAACCTGGTGGATGGGACGATGGGACAATGGGTGGATGGGTGGATGAGGGGATGGGGGGCAATGCAAGGAGTGGTTACATGGTTCTCCAGGGTGTTTTTGAGAATTCTCTTCAATGTTTTGAGAAAAACACCCTGCAGCATCAAGGAGTGGTTACATGGTTCTCTTCTCTGAGAGACTTCCGAGCCTATATCATCCTTTCAGTGACTTGTGCAAGGAGCAGCTGTACCAGGCCAGATTCAGCAGCCCTGAAATACTGACTGTGCGCCCGCCCACCTTGGAATGAAAGACACCGATACGTCTGGGTCGTCCATGCGAGCACCGCCGCCACCGTCAGCAGCAGAAACAGCAGCAGCAGAACGAGGAGCAGGAGGGGGCACACGGGGCAGCATGAGGGAGAAGCGGATGAGGGCACCAGGACCTTCCTTATCAGCAACTGCCACATGGCCGCCCATGAGCTCCACCAGCCCCTTCACTATGTTCAGCCCCAGCCCCGACCCCGCATGCACGCGCGAGGCCGACTCGTCCACCTGCGAGAAGCTCTCAAACACCGCCTCGCGCTTCTCCGGTGGTATACCACAACCCCGTGTCATCCACCTCAAAGATTATCAGCACTCGGATCGTCTGTGGCAGGCTCGACTGCTGGGCCTTCCCCAGGTGGAACCTCCTCTCCCCCAGGTGGAACCTCCTCAGGTGGGTCCTCCTCACCCGTAGGTGGGCGCTCCCCAGGTGGGCGCTCCTCAGGTGGATTGTCACCAGGTACACCCTCCCCTTCCTCTGCAGCATCCTCAGCTACACCTTCCCCAGCTGACCCTGGACCCATCCCACTACAGGCCATCCCATCTGTTTGGCCTCCAGCCTCCCTCCCCACTCCTTCGCCCCACCCCAACCTCCCCCCCTCCTCAATCACTATATCCACAAGCTCACTCCCCTCTGTGTCCGATTCAGCTGCGGTATCCGCAAACCCCTCCCACGCACAGCACTCTCATGACCTCTCCTGAGGCTCTACGGGTACTGTAAGTCCTCACTCCCCCCCTCCCGGGTTCCTAACAGTGGGCTGCTCTGCTCCCTGAGACTAGAAGAGCGGTTGAATGAGGGTGAGGAGGACAGCCCGCCTGCACAGGGAAACCCACCTGTGCAGGCCAAGGCTCCTCGCACTCCCTCGCCCCTCCCTCTCGCTCCCCCGCTCCTCCCTACCCGTGCTCCTGTGAATGCACCTCCGCCTGCTCCTCCCCCTAGTTCTGCTCGTTCCCAGCCTCCTGTTACTGCCCCTACTGGTAGGCACCCTGCCGCTGCCATCATAGGAGCACAGCCGTGCGGGTTTCCCCTGTGGCCCCTCAGGCTCTCTTCATCCTCCTCCTCCTCCTCCTCCACCTCCTCCTCCTCCCCATCCTCAACCCCATCCTCTTCGCGCTCCTCCTGCTCCTCCGCTTTCCCTACCAATGCGTTTTCCCTTGTTGCCTGTAAGCTGTACCTGCTGTGGCAACGAGCGGCCCCAGCAGCAGCACTAGCAGTACCAGCAGCAGAAGCAGAATTCCCAACAACACTACCAGCAGCACTGCCGACAGCACTGCCAGCAGAAGCAACAGAAGCGAGAGCAGAGGGAGCAGGCGCGGCAGCAGGTGGGTGCTGCTTGTGGGGGAGAAGGGCGCTGAGAGCGCTCATCCGCACGGAGTAGATGTCTGCACCGCTCTCCACAGCTGTTCGCGACTGGGAAAGGAGAGGGAAAGGCAACGGAGGGAGAAAAGGGGAATTTTGATTCAACTCAAAAGGAGGGCGCTGAGAGCGCTCATACCGCACGGGAGTAGATGTCTGCACCGCTCTCCACAGCTGTTCGCGACTGGGAAGGGGGCGGGAAAACCAGTGGGGCGGAGGAGAGGGAGAGAGGGAGAGAGAGCATTGGTGAAATTTGAGTCGTCTCAAAGCAGCAGCTTGTGGGGGAGGAGGGCGCGGAAAGTGCTCATTTGCAGGGAGTATATGTCTGCAACCGCTCTACAGGGCTGTTCGCGACTGGAAGGGGGTATACCAAGCAAGGGAGGAGGGGAGGGAAGGAAAGCATTGGTTCGGTGAGAGAGGAAGGGGTTGGAAGAGGAGGGGCAGGGCAGATTGAACAAAACTCAAGCATAAGAAAGGCATCATAAGGGGTGCAGTCACTCACCATGGCAAACGTGTTGGGAGTGTGCACGACCCACGCGCGCACGTGAATATACCCCTGCTCCGTGAACTTCACGCTATTGGACAGCAGGTTGCTGAGAACCTGGCGGAACCGCATTGCATCCCCCAGCACCATGTCTGGGAGGTCATCTGCTAGATCCATTGAGGAGGTCCACCCCGCTGCCGATGCAGTGCACTGCAAACATGTCCAGTAATGTCTCCATCTCCGTGACTATACTGAAGGGCGCTAATGTGAGCTCCAACGCCCCCACCTCCACCTGAAAGAAATGGAAGGGAACGAGCAGGGAGGGAGCGACTGGCATGATTCTGCTGGAAAGCAGGTTGCAGAGCACCTCCCCAGCACCATTACCGGGAGGTCGTCTAGGTAGATCCATAGAGAGGTCAACCCCGCTGCCGATGCAGTGCACTGCAAACATGTCCAATAGTGTCTCCATCTCCGTGATTATACTGAAGGGCGCTAATGTGAGCTCTAGCGCGCCCACCTCCACCTGCAGGGGGAGGGGGGAGAGCGAGGGAGGGGTGCATGGGAATGGATGATTAGATGCAGTGCACTGCAAACATGTCCAGCAGTGTCGCCACCTCCGTTGCTATGCTGAGGGGCGCCATGGTGAGTTCTATCGCGCACCACTTCCACATGCAGGGGGGGTGGAAAAGGGAGTGAGGGGTGCATGGGAATGAGTATATTTTTGAGTCAACTCAAAAACGGGGGGAGTGAGGGGTGCATGGGAATGAGTATATTTTTGAGTCGACTCAAAAACGGGGGAGTGAGGGGTGCATGGGAATGAGTATATGCAGTGCACTGCAAAACGCGTCGAGGCAGCGTCTCCATCTCTGTGATTATACTGAAGGGCGGTAGGGTATGCTAAGGCCAGACCAGACCAGACACAACAGGGCTCAGACCTTGGAGATGTCAAGGACGTTGTTGATGAGGTCTAGCAGGCCCGAGGCACAGCGCTTTTGAGGCGCCTCGAACTCGCCTCAAGAGCAAACAGGGCAGGGCCCAGGGCGGGCCTGAGGCACAGGGCAGGGAGGGCAGGGCAGACCTCTGACCTTGGAAATATCAAGGACGTTGTTGATGAGCGCGAGGAGTCCTGAGGCGCAGCGCTTGATCTGCAGCACCATGGCCTCCTGCTCGGGGGAGAGTGAGTCGCACGCCAGCAGGTCTAACAGCCCGATGATGCCCGCCAGTGGCGTGCGCAGCTCGTGACTGTATGGAGGAGGGGAAGGAAGGGGAGGAGGGGAGGAGGGGAGAGGGGGAGGAGGGGAGGGGGGGGAGGAGTAGAGGAGGAGAGCACTTGATCTGCAGGCACCATGGCCTCCTGCTCCCGGGGTGAGCGCGTCGCACGCCAACAGGTCTAACAGCCCGATGATGCCCGCCAGTGGCGTGCGCAGCTCGTGACTGGGAAGAGGAAGAGGGGGAGGAGACGAGGAGGAAGTAAGTCAAGGTGGTTGCTGCGTTGCTCCAGCCCTGCGCTTCTCTCAACCAGCCGTGGAACAAGCTTGTGACGCGCCTCAAAAACACTC